AATAATATTATCAGCGGCATCCTTGAAGTAGTCATGGTAGGTAAGTGTAATTTGTCCATGTGACCAGCATTGATGGTGGATATGCTAGAACACATATACAGGTAGAGTAGTGATGATACTAGCATTGAAACTGGAGAATGGGACGGTCAAGGGTGGACTGTGAGGAGACTAGCATTGAAACTGGAGAATGGGACGGTCAAGGGTGGACTGTGAGGAGACTAGCAACAGCAGTGAGGGTGCACACACGCACATGCACCGCCGACTTGACCTTTTACTGGCATTTCTTCGGTTCGTCTGGAATCAGAACGTTGGCTGGGGTGGTGCCAAGTAGCATGGAATGGCGCTCGTACGACTTTTATTTACGGAAGTGACTGTCCGTGCCATGCAGCAAATCAAAGATTCCCAGTATGCCAAAGTTCTGGTTAAACCTGCATAGCAGCAGCCAACATAAACAAAAATAATGTCAGTTTTTATAATTATACGAGGTACACAAACTCACCGGCAGGCACATGGGGCTAGCATGGGGTCAGCAGTACATGGGGCTAGCATGGAGTCAGCAGTACATGGGGCTAGCATGGAGTCAGCAGTACATGGGGCTAGCATGGGGTCAGCAGTACATGGGGCTAGCATGGAGTCAGCAGTACATGGGGCTAGCATGGAGTCAGCAGTACATGGGACTAGCATGGAGTCAGCAGTACATGGGGCTAGCATGGAGTCAGCAGTACATGGGGCTAGCATGGAGTCAGCAGTACATGGGGCTAGCATGGAGTCAGCAGTACATGGGGCTAGCATGAAGTCAGCAGTACATGGGGCTAACATGGAGTCAGCAGTACATGGGGCTAGCATGGAGTCAGCAGTACATGGGGCTAGCATGGAGTCAGCAGTGAGACAGTGCTGGTGAGACCTGCCATGCTCAACTGACCAGAGGTCTCGGAATCATCGAATGGCAGACTCACTAAACTGAGGGCATTGTAGTGCATTGGATCAGAATCAGACAATACCTATAGGAACATTCATGGTCAGAAGAGACAACAACCATGACACTGGTATGCAAGTGGACTGCTGGAAACAGGGAGTACAGGTCCTCCCTCATTATAACGAGTCCGGTTAGTACATAAACCCCGTTAGTAAATAGAAATCTGAGATCCCTTGGCGAAACGTGGTCTATACAACTGTTTACAGGTCCGGTTACAACATAATCCGTTAGTACAAACAATTCGTTATAACGACCCTTTGCCTAGGTCCCTGGAGTGCCAAACCCTCAGTATAAGATAATACTGACCATGCAGGACCAAGGCCAAAACAAGTAGGATAAAGCAGAAAGACGAAACGTAATATATCTATGTATTTGTGAATATGGACGATCCTTTGCATCCAAGGAAGAGCTATGTTGGAGATTTTCCATTATCTTATAACGAGTTGAAGCATCGATAATTTATGTTGTATCGAGGGTAGCCCCGGTAAGTACAAAGTAGTGCCTATTTCACCTTTAGCTGCAAGTCCTGCTACAAGATAAGTCTCATTATAAGATAACTTTTTCGATGGCCCAGAGATTATCTACTAACGAGGGAGGACCTGTATTTCTTTTCTGTTGTTGGGGGGTGGGGGCAGGGACTGAGGGAGTAATATTCTTCTGTGCGCGTGGTTTTTTAGGGACCATCACAAAAGTTCGCAGAAGCCCCTGAAACGAAGAGAATACGTTTGGGGGGAGGGAGTCGTGTCGAAAATCGCAAACCGGGCTTCAATTCAAAAAAGTATTGACGACATGTAGGAGCTGATAATTATAGATTAGCATGCCATCACAGCCGGCGTAGATCGCTTGTCAGGACGCGTAGTCCATTCATGCAACTGCGCGTGTCGCGTAGCTGGCTGCCTGTACACTGTGTGTAGTCTAGTACCAAGAGTCCGTAAAACGCGTGGTTTATGAATTATGGACTCTTGCTACTGCTAGTACTAGTACTAGCAGGGGTTCATAGGGTTTATGAACCCCTGCTGTGTAGTTATTATAATAATTATTATGTGTGCAGCATCCAAGTGAAATAATGAAGCCCATATTGTGACTGTCGTTTCGTTTGAGGGGGGAGGGAGGGGAGTCAGGCCCGAAACTCACGGTCTTCGTTTCGGGGGCTTCTGCGAACTTTTGCGATGGTCCCTTATACATGCAGCCAGAAGTTTTTTTTGGGGGGGGGGAGTATTTCCTTTTAGGGGTACAGTGGGGGGGGGGGGGGGGGCTCAAGTCAGATTTTTGCGTTCACCTCCTCCCATGTATATGCAAGGTATTACAGCTACCAATCAATGCAGAATGCATACACTACACTACTAAATTTTCATGATAGTAGTCGTGGTACTCGTTGGACGGCATGAACGGCAGGTGGAAGCCGCAGTGTTCGACGGACACGGAGGCCAGCGAGATGCAGGCCCACAAGAGCAGCAACATACAGTGAGAGCCGAGCAGGACGGGACCAGCCAATACCGGCAATATGTTGGCGATGTCATGCTCGACCGGGTGACAGTACAGCCCAGAGATGCTGATCGGCGCGGTCCACTCATGGTGGACCTTGTGGATGTGTTTATACCACAAGGGAATGTGAAGTGCCCTAGAGAAACACAAAGCAAAAGAGAGAGAGAGAGAGAGAGAGAGAGAGAGAGAGAGAGAGAGAGAGAGAGAGAGAGAGAGAGAGAGAGAGAGGGAGAGAGAGGGAGAGAGAAAGGGAGGGAGAGAGAGAATGTGTGTGTGTGAGAGAGAGAGAGCGGCTTTCCTACTTCAGATTTTATTTCCGTGAGAGGCAACCCCGAAATACTGAAAAACACAAATGTGAAATGCAACCCCGACCAGTTCCTTGCAGGCATACAATGTAGTGGACATTATGCGTGGAGTGTTAGGCATGAAATGGATATTGCAACCAACACAGGTTATTTTGCAGTCCACAATCGCCATCAGTCACATGCCACGGCCAACCTCCAAACTTCTTCCCCAAATTAAACCCTTTCCCACATTCTCCTTCCGTCTTTGTGAAGATACCCTGACTCAACTAGATGTGTAGATGCAACTGTGCAATGTTTATTTAGGCAGTCACACCACTCACTCCATGAATCAACCGTACACGCTGCCCCTTTCCGTTCTGGACCAGGCCGTTCAGTGGTGAAAACATGTCTTCCAGCTTGGCATTGGCCACCTGTCCGTGCTTCCATCATCATTATCATCACTCATTGCTGGAACGGTTCAGGATACCGAGTGGTGATGAAATCGTCGGGCAAGCTGGCCATCATGATGCTGCCTTTGTACGGCTGCCAGGTTATGTTGGAGATATCGGCCGTTCCCTTCACCAACACCGTCGTTACCAGTTCAATGTTGTAAGCCTCTACTCGTAACGAACACTGTTCCCGCCAGTCCCACACACTCACACTATCCCGGTATGTACCAGTGCGCACGGCACAGATGTGATGACTTTGTTGCCAGCCATCTGATCAGTCTGCCATCCATGTCCGCCATCACAGTTGCTATCATCATCGGTAGGTCAGCCAGTTGCAAACCTACCTCCAGTTGATCAAGACCATAGCAGACAGCCTCGGTGTTGATGTTGAACATTCACACACGTCTGAATTTGTTTGAACTTTGAATGGGTTTTCCAAGTTGCCAATCGGTGCTTGGTTTGGCTCACCCCTACTACTAGCCAGCCACTGATCTACTTCGGACTTCGTCGGATCATGAGTCATTGACCTGTACTTGCATCCACGATCATCCGAAACTCGCCACCACCAATGGCCGCATCAGCCTCCTTCACCGGTTGCTCGGCGAAACTGGGCGAAACTGAAGCAAAAGCGAGAAAAGCGAACACAACTACTATTGCCATGCCAACCCACCACCAAACGTCTCGTCTTTCCCACACCTACTAGTACTACTACTACACTTACTCCAAGTCCAAGGGACAGAGCGCGTGCGTTACAGTACTTACACTGACATAATCATTATACAGACATCATTATGTAGAGACATGAATCATGTAGATCTACATCTACTACTACATTCTACTACTACTAGTACTAGTACAGTCGTCCCTCTCTAATCCGGCACTTTATAATCCAGCACCCTCGATAAACCAGCACAATTTTCAGTAGCCAAAATGCCCTCATCATGCACATTGCAGCAGTAAATCAGATTTGTTTAATCCAGCACCCTCCCTAATCCAGCAGATTTTCGTGGCACAAAATTTGGTGCCGGATTATAGATGGACCACTGTAGTACAGTCGTCCCTCTCTAATCCGGCACTTGTTTATCCAGCACCCTTGCAAACCAGCACACTTTCTGGCAAAACGGATTATTTCAGCTCATTTTCTACGCTTTAATCCGGCACTTGAATTTCGCCTCCAGCAGCGATTTTCTGCAACAAATCGCTCAAACTGTACATAAATCGATTTTCTAATCCAGCAGTTGTACATCGCATACGGTCAGGGAGCATTGCAACATACACAACATATGTAACATACACCTGGGAATATCCTATGCTAGTGCATAGGATATTCCCAGGTGTATGTTAAAGACATGTATTACACAAAGTACTTGGATTGACAAAGAAAATCCCTACGTTTTGACGTACGACACAAACATGTATGTTAACAGGTGGGCCGGGTTGGAGGGCAGGATTTGATAATCCAGCACCCTTGTTTATCCAGCAGAAAATGCCATTGCAAAAGGTGCCGGATTAGAGAGGGACGACTGTAGTACTAGTAGTCTTTCACTGGTAGACTCTACTACAGTGCTGGCAACTGAAATCCGACCCCCTAGGAGGCGCGGCGCGCCGCCCAGGGGGTCGGATTTCAGTTGCCAGCACGGTACATAGCGGGATCTAGGAGTAGTGAAAGGGTTTTCACGACTCCTGCTACCATGGCTACTATGTAGATCTACTTCAAAGGACCGGTACATCTACCGGTATACCGGTACTGCGGTAGATCATTACTATTATTTTTCTCGGCGCATTTTCTCTGTCGGTCGGTAGCTGTTGAATTGTGTCAGTCGTGTAGTTGTGTCAATGTGTGCGGTGTCTCACTCTGTTCTCCATTGTTCACTGTGGTCCACAGAACGATTCACTCCAGCCAGCGTTGGCTGAGGCCGTGACGGAGTGGTTGGTGGTGAGGGTTTTCAACCTTTCCGGCGCAATGCCGGACAGTGTGAAATACAACATCAAGTACTTATTTGCAAATTTAGATGCTTCAACAATCTTAGAAGACCTACTAGAGAGTGATGTTCTGGACGGAGAGGAATATATTGGCGCACCTGCCAAGGAGGAGAAGTTGAAGTTGGCAGAGTATGTGGTGAGGCTGATGCTGAAGAAAACGGAGGAACAGGTGGATACGTTCCTGAGGCTCGTTCAACACAGCCAGCCTCATGTAGCGGAACACGTCGCCAGCACCATGGCTAAGCGACGCGGTGCAACTGCCAGTGGGAAAACTGAGCATCCGGCGAAGCCAATGTCGGCAGATCGTGAGTCACCACTTGGCTCGTCCTCTGGTAAGTGTTCACATTGACTACAGTGGTGTAGGAAGGTGTGTGTGTGTGTGTCACTGAGTGCGTTCGATTACACACTTGAATCGATTCATGAATCCATTCGCATGCATTCAAGTCGTTCGATTTTCATGTCATGAGCCCTAGAATCGATTCGGAATCGATTCACTCTATTCATATGGGGTGATGTGAATAGCGCGAATCGATTCATGAATCGATTCGCGTGCATAATCGAACGCACTCACTGTGTGTGCGTGTGTGGAGGGGGGAGGGGGAGAACTCGTTGAACATGCATGAAACTACAGTCGTGGCCAAAGAAATCCAACCCACGTGCCAAAAGCAGCGCCAAGGCTCATGCGGCCCTCGGATCAGCTTTTGTGAACATGCATGCTGTAATTGAAATGTAAACGCGGCGCTACTTTTGACTTGCGGGTCGGATTTCTTTGGCCACGACTGTTCTGCTCAATGGAATCCAGTCGCGTCACTCAAGTACGCGACGGGTGTTCCGCAGCCCTAGGTCTGCAATCACTCGGCTGCGAAAGGTGCAAGGCGCAAACTTACTTGAGTGACGCAACTGGATTTCATTGAGGAGTACCGTAACCGATACTTACTTGCTTGCAAGCGCAAATGGGAAGCCATTACAAATGATCAGCCAGTACATGCACGCACGTGGATTATAGTCAGAGCTGACCCTGGGAATACACAATCTGTCCCGGGGGAAAATCGTGGAAAAAATCCCAGAATTTGCGGTGTAATTTGCGGGTAAATATGGCATAATTTGCGGTGAATTTGCGGTAAATATGCGGTGAATACTATTGATATGCGGCAAGTTTGCAGTTGATATGAGGAAAATTTCAGTGGGTATGTAGTGAAATCAATTAGTTACAAGTCTCTGATGTAAGCACTCGTCATATTTGAGTACAAAGCCGCCACGATGAGACGTTGCTGACCGAACAGTGCACTGTGTCATGAGTCAAGACTTGGCTCGTCCTCCGGTAAGTGTTCACATTGATAACAGTGGCATAGGAAGATTGGGGGGGGGGGGGCTCGTTGAACATTCGTGTAACATGACTTGTACAGTTCTGCTCAATGAAATCCAGTCACAGCATCACTCAAGTACGCGCTGGGCGTTGCGCAGCCCTAGACCTGCAAACATTGGGCTGCAAAATGGTGCAAGGCACAAACTTGAGTGACACGACTGGATTTCATTGCGCAACACTGTACTTACTTGTTAGCAGTGAGAAGTGCTTACAGAGATCAATTAGTTTATGCATTCACATCAATCGTATTGAGAGCTGACCCTGGGTGGGTTCAGTTAGATGGACAATCCTGAGGTTATAACCAGATCTACATGATGATCTTGTAGATCTACAAGAAATGCAGGTGCCACCGGCGTGAAGCACTGTCATGGGTCACTAGATTATTGCTAGGGAGTTCAGTTCCAGCCTGTGTCAGGTGAAAACTGCAGTCACAACTCGCGTGTACATTTTAACCCTTTGTCTACGGACTGTACAACTTTCGATCCCCTGCGATCGAAACTTTCAAGATTTTAATCTATCGTAACTCAGTCATTTCTTTTTTTATTTTCAAAAACTAAGATATGTAGGTCGAAGAGAAAACTCCCAGCTGTCCATTGAAACAATCGCTGAAGCGCTCCGATGTGCGGTTCTGGGAATGTGTGTGTGTGTGTGTGTTTGTGTGTGTGTGCATGTGTGTGTGTGCGTGCGCACGTGAGTGTGTGAGTGTGTGTGTATGTGTGTGTGTGTGTGTGTATGTGTGTTTGTGTGCGTGTATGTGTGTGTGTGTCCATTGTTCTTATCACCTGACGATGGCCAAGTGCCGAAACGTTGTAAAATAACGGAACTTGTTCGGATGTGCAGCGCTATGGGAATGGGTGTGTCCACACAAATTCCTTTCCATGTATTATCGGTGTTGTGCAATTCCATTTTTATTTGTTTCTTGACATGTAGTTGTGTGTAGTTGTGTGTTCATGTGTCATCTGTGCCTTCTGTATTTTGCTGCTTTCGCGACAGACAATCCGTTTGACCTGACAAGGTTTGTGTGTGACTTTCAACAATGGTTGAACAAAGTTGACGCAGATCGACTGCGACGGATGGTGATCAAGAAACATCTCATAACTGACAGCGCATCAATAGAGAGACTAAAGATAATTCGGTCCCGGGATGGACTATCTGATCATAATGAGGCGCTCATCCAGTTGCTCAGAGCTGGTGGCCTAAAGACTTATCGTGATCTCTGTGTTGTCATTGAGGAACTTGGTTATGCGGACAAGAGCAAGGAAATGCTCTCCATTTTGTCCCACACAGGTATGTTGTTGCTATACGTTTACTGCAATGTGTTCAAATTTGGTGGTGTGTAATGGACAGCTGAGAGCTTTCTCTTCGACGTACATATGTTAGTTTTTGGAAATAACCCAGGAATGACTGAGTCCCGATCGATTGAAATTTTGAAAAGTTTGTAGTTGTACAATCCGTAAATTGGGCCCCGCGTGAGATCTCTTTGGCCTGACTTTGACCCCGCTTCTATCTTATCCCGTGGCCAGTACTCCCTTGTCGATGCTGTTTTAGGTAGCTGTGGTCATTGCCTTTCCATTGATGCCACACATGCCATGCCTGAACAAAAAAGGTGGAGCTGCGCTTTGCACAGAGGCATAGAGAAGTACTGATCTCGACCAGAGGCAGACACGGCCCTGGCAGGTACACCCAATTTTCGTGTTCAGCAGCCTCGAATTAGTCTAAAAGAAGAGGATTCTAGAACATTTAGCTTCGCACTTTATCGCAGTAGAAGGAACATTATCACAGAAGCCAGCTCACAGCAATTTCCCGGTGGTGGACGTAAAAATCGAGTGAATCGAGCGCACACTGTAGAAGCTGTGACGGTGAAAGCATGTGAGTTGTGCAAGCAGGCAAACCCGGCATGCATGCCGTGCAGCACATGCATGCACACGGCATGCATGTGCACACCCTGTATTGTCATGCACTTCATGCAATTAAGCACTTCAGTTCGCACGCGCATGTATGCACAAAATAGTGCAGTGCTGGACGGAAACCACACCGTCCCCTTCCATACTTGAATTGCTTTCTGTGACTGCTCAGGCTTTCATTTTCCAAACTTCTATTACTTCGAAATCGCAAACATTGCTTTTGTCGGAGTCAGCTTTACTCATTGCTATGCCGCAGATATAGTGCAGCATTCCAGAGAATACCATTTTCCAGATGAAATCCTCAACTCAGACTTAGCACAGTAGTTGTTGGAGAGCGAAGATTGCAAGGCACTGTATAGCAGGAAATTTTCGGACAGAATTTATTTTCGTACGATTTCGGACACGGCCTCTTTTGTACTAAAATTAATTCCGTACTAAAATTTGTTCCTGTAAAGTTATGTACATGTGTACACTTTACATGCGCACCGCATGCAAACACACGCGTGCATTTACAATGCTGCCAAACCGTCCGATTTTTCGGACATTGTCCGATTTTGGAAGGCTCTTCCGAAAACCGGTCCGAAAAGGGAAACGTCCGAAAAGCAGCCAAAATGTCGGAGATCATTATTTTCCTATGCAGAAGTCCTGTACTTTCACTTTTCAGCGCAACTGACGGCACAAATCACTGTACATTTGTTCTAAAAAGGCTAGCGCTTGGCTGTGGAAATGCAAAGTAACATGCCTGGATCAGGCTGGATGGCATGTACACTGACAGTCTGTGCAGAGTCAGTGTGCGACCACACTCATCATTACAAAATTCTTGGCAACTATGTGGTTACCATGGCAACGAAGCGAATTTTCATGGTGTTTTAGGCGATATTTTAAATTCTCTGTAAAAAATTGCCAAGGAGAAAAATTCGCACCATGTGGTCAGCCTTGGCGGTGAAGGTTGTCCGGTTTTGGGCGAAAATTATTTGGCAGCACTGCATTTAGAATGCACGACAGTACGAAAATAAAATCCGTACGAAAAAGGGTCGAATTTTGGCTTTGTCCGAAAATGTCGTGCCATACAGTACTTTGTCGGCAGTCATAAATTTGAACATTTCCCTGGAAAAACTGAGCTCGAGGCTACCAGCCATCATTCTATGACCTCCAAGAGACCTTGCCAGGCCACAATAGTCATCAACACACCACTTTAAAAAACCCGCTATCACATGACTTTGTTACTAATTGTAGAGTTCTAGTACAACCACTAGTAGGAAATAAGCCCGGGATTCTTGTTTGTAATACTTGTAGCTGAAATCGGGGCGTTTTTGAACGAAAAATTTTCCATTTGTCATTGCCAATTGTTTTTGCTCTACGATCGACTCTCATTCACCATAACGGATGTATGTTTCTTTCAGGGGAATTTACCTTCAGACGTTGGGCTGTCAGTCAAAGCAACTCATCCAGTGGTGCCAAAATATTCACTTTTGTGTTGGATTTCACCGAGCGCAACTGTTCTAGTAGTGGGGTGCACTCATCCAAAAATTTAAAAGTGCATGAGTTCGACTGGGAACATAGGCCAACGGCAGTGGCTCAGCTTCCAGTGCATGAGTTGGACTGGGAACATAGGCCAACGGCAGTGGCTCAGCTTCCGGTGCATGAGTTCGACTGGGAACATAGGCCAACGGCAGTGGCTCAGCTTCCAGTGCATGAGTTCGACTGGGAACATAGGCCAACGGCAGTGGCTCAGCTTCCAGTGCATGAGTTGGACTGGGAACATAGGCCAACGGCAGTGGCTCAGCTTCCAGTGCATGAGTTCGACTGGGAACATAGGCCAACGGCAGTGGCTCAGCTTCCAATACATGAGTTCGACTGGGAACATAGGCCAACGGCAGTGGCTCAGCTTCCAGTGCATGAGTTCGACTGGGAACATAGGCCAACGGCAGTGGCTCAGCTTCCAGTGCATGAGTTCGACTGGGAACATAGGCCAACGGCAGTAGCTCAGCTTCCAGTGCATGAGATCGACTGGGAACATAGGCCAACGGCAGTAGCTCAGCTTCCAGTGCATGAGATCGACTGGGAACATAGGCCAACGGCAGTAGCTCAGCTTCCTCGGACCAACAGCATTCGAATCAGCACACAGAAGACTACCAGTAGGTTCAGTACTGTGAAATTTTGATTCGACTTTCTCCGTTAAGCAAAACTTCTTCATTGCATTTTATTGTTCTTATCAGGGTCTTTCTATGCGCATTAGACAAACATATCGGTGACCCCCCCCACTGAGATAGGGTGGCCACGATGACATCCATTGCTCTGATAGATGGTTTTGACGGGTGTATAAAAATGCATTGAAGTTTTGCTTAACAGATTAACGGAGAAAGTAGGCCATACATCGCCAAAGATTTTCAAAACTTACAATAGGTTTTTACTCTTGCTTTCTGTATCTTGCTAGGTACCACCATGACAACAGTTGGCCAACAGAAAACGCAGCCATCACAGCACCCGGTGGAAGATGGCCAGGCCGACCAGCAACGGACCTCCAGCAGACGTGAGCCAGTTTTCAAACAACCAACATCAGCTGTAACTAGAACTGATGCGACTAGTATGGGTACAACAACCAACACAGCATTGACTACAACGCAGGATTCAACAAGATCAGCAACGTCAAGCCAGTCATCTCTACCGGACAAAGACCGACACTTCACTGGCAGGAATGAGATTGTTACAGAGATTAGTGACAAAATTCTCACAACAAAGTCCACATCATCATCTACACGTGTGCAGAGTCTTCTGGCACCAGCTGGTTTTGGTAAGACGTCCGTAGCCATTACTGTTGGACATGTATGTCGCAATGCTGGTTGTCGTGTGGAGTTCTTTGACTTACGCGGTGTAGCTGGTGTTGACGCTGTCCAGGCAATGATTCAAAACCGACTCGAAACAAACCCGGCTTCACCTGAAACTGCTGGCAAGACAAAACAAACAACTGATGGCATGGATGAGGATGGTGGCAAGCACCGCATGCTATGTATTCTGGATAATGCCGAGGATGCTATCCAGGCTGGTGCTGATAAAGATTTCCAACTACAAGATGTTGTGGAACGACTACTTCGACTACAACACAACGTTCATGTTCTACTGACAAGTCGTGTTTACTTTGATCTACACGCTGCCCAGTTTAAACTACAACAACACCGTCTTGATGGTCTGACAAAGGTTTGCGCTGTTGGACTTCTCCATGGTCTATGTGTTGAAGGTAGTGTGAGCATTGAAGATGCACAGAGGTTAGTGGATCATTGTGGAAATGTTCCACTTGCTGTACGCATTACAGCTGGTCTTCTACAAGGGGGTCGATTAACTCCCACCAGGCTGCTATCGTTGTTCAAGAAGGTTGGTCTTGATGTGTTCAACGATGATGGTCTGAAACCGAATGATCGAATTCTGCAGCTGTTGAAAATAGCATACAACACATTACGTCAGGATGATAAGGCATCATTCCATGCTCTCTCTCAACTGCGCTCTTCCTTCTCATCTAAGTGCGCTTGTGTGATGGTGGATTGTGTAGGTGATGATGTTGATGTGGTTCATCTTGAAAGTTTTGATCCTTTGATCAAGATTTGTTTCCTGGATTACAATTCGCATTCGGATCGCTACTCGTTGCAACCACTCATCGCCGAGTTTGGTCGTTACCAATGCCCTGAAGACAAGCAATGTATGTATCAACGGCGACTGTGCAAGCATTTTCTTGGCTTTGTGAAGGAAGTTGATGACTGTAGAGGTTGTGGTGCAGACAAAGCAGTGTATTGGAGTTACCAATTGCTTCAGGAACAGGTGAATATACAGATGGCGTTGTCTGTTGTTGATGTTTTGTCTGGCGATGACTTGCTTCCTTTCTCTGGATTAGCAGGGTGGTCGGGTATCCTACTTGCCTTGTTTGGGAGAGCAATGTTTGTTGAAGAGTTTGTGGACAGGATACAAAGATTGGACAAAGCACCGCTATCTGTACAAGCTGACAGCATTTGCACCTCGGTCCTGTGTTGTATTTGCCGTCAAAGCATTGCAGATTCTGATGTCACTTTTGAGAGTTTGGATTCCAGAACCCAAATGCTCCTGGAGAAATCTGAACAAGAACCGACAGGAGTGGGGTCACCGCTGCAGCTACCTTTGATGCAACTTTCTCTGGAGTCATGCAGGCTATCCATGTCTCTGGACATCGACTGCAGGAAAGGACAAGCTGAGCTCAGCCAGGAAACACTATCCCGTCTGCAGGTGGTGTGCCAGCGTGTTACAACAACACTGGGAATGGGTCTTGCAACAGGTGTCACTGAATGTGCCCTGAAACTCATTCAACTGTATTGTTCCACTCTGCTAAACAAGGATACGCCCAATGTACAGGTGGTAGAAGACCTTGCTAAGAGAGTAATCTCATCACACTTCCTATCACAGGATGGTGTACTCCCTTCATGTACTACAATGTACTACGTTCTGCACCAATGCATATTTGTGATCCTGGGCAAGGTCATGTCAAGTTCCTGTAGCAGTGAGTGGATTATTTCACCATCATTGATTACAACACTGGGTATACCACTCTGCGAGTGGAAACATGTACCAACTGCTATCAGCCGCTCGGTCAATACCCATGAGGACCACACTACTGTGTCTGGTCTTCGGTTACAACAGTACCTGTACTCCATGGATAATGACACAGTAACCACACTACTGAACATGTACATGGGTGTTATGTACAACATCCCGTACATATCCTTGGTAGTTAATGGATGGGTGCACACAACTCCAACGGGTCTCACTCTACCAGCACAGCATCCCTACAACATTGTGATGGACTATGTCAGGAGATGGTGTAATGGCTCAAATCCAGCAGATCACACAACAGCACTGATTAACAACTGTAGTCAGAACAAGGTACCTGATCTGGAAGTGGTGCAGTCTTGTATACTGACAGCTGGAGAACTGCTTGCTATTGAGGTAAGCTGGTAGTGCAGTGTTCGTAGTTCAGGTTACCATAACTGTTTTTCAACCACATTCCACTCTGAATGGAACATTGTATTGCAAACCAGTGTACTCAGTAATTATCTACTGTATAGTGTCTGTCTCTCTAAGGTAGATTTCTTGAAGAACACAGAGGAGAATGTGATAATTTTGAACATTGTAAACTATGGAAATGGAATGTGTTGCTTTCCGCTATATCAGTCTGATTTGTTATTATTGCGCATGATGTTCTCTGTTTTGAGTGTACTGGCCTCAGTTACCTTTTTTTCTACACTGTTCTTTGTTGTGTGCTTTGCTCTAGAATACGATCTTGGCGACTGATGTTAGTTCCAAACTCTTCCCAGCGTTGAAGTCATTAGTTAATGATCTCAGTGCTTGCTTGCCAAGCAAGTGTGCAACTGGTCTGTCAGTGTCTGGAATTGTGTACTTACCACCACAAACTGGAGACTATTCTCTACCGTACATCTCTCTCATTGCTGCCCTACATCATCAATCCAAGAGAGGCCAAGTGAGCATTGATCACCACTTTGCACTACTGGAATGGTGTAAATGTGCAGTAGCATGTTTCGTCTGCTATGACCTGGACAACATCACAGCATGCAGGGGCGGATCCAGGAATTTTTCAGGGGGGGTTCAAATTTTTTCGAGTGCACAGAATTAAATTCGCTTCAAACTGTTTTCGGTTCGTTCACTACATGTATACACCGGGAGTTGCAAAATCTTTATTGTCACGGTAGCCCTTGCATTGCTTGGCCAATAAGACAAGGGTAATGCGTTTAGAGCCTTACAAAGTACAAAGCTGCAGCACAGGCAGAAACTAAGGCCGTGACTGCAGCATTTTCCGAACTGACGGAAGGCGAAGTTCTCTGACTGTCCTCCGGCTGGGACTCCGTGTCGTCACATTCGCGCCGTACATGGCGGAACGAAGCCAAGCTCAATGGCAACTGATCGGCCGCTCGCCTCTTTGGCAGACGTCGCGACATGGCAAACTACACGACAAAAACAAACATTATCTTCGTACTGCGACGGAGGAAACCTACAGTCCAGCCAACGCGAAATAAAACAAAACGACAAGGAAGGTAAGGAGGACAAGTGGCAGTTTCTCCACCTTTTGCTCCACCGCGACATGGCAAACTACACGACAAACACAAACATTATCTTCGTACTGCTACGGAGGAAACCTACAGTCCAGCCAGCGCGAAATAAAACAAAACGACAAGGAAGGAGGCAAAGTGGCAGTTTTCCTCCTTTTGCTCCACCACTTGAAATGTTACTGTCGATCGTTTCAAGTCATATTAATTATTATGATACGCGTACAGAGTCTACAGACCCTTCGATTCGAACGGTACGCGTACAACAGTCCCGACCATGTACCACTGCATGCATGGAGTGACGTATACCTGCACTGCCTGTACGTGACTACTGCATGCATGCAGGATTGCCAGTGAAGTCTACTGGCTACGCGTATCGCTGCATGTACGCTACACTTCGCTGGCTGCGCACGTGGAGATCACAAAAAATCGACTGGACCCATGGTCGAAATTATTTTAGGGGGTTCGTCCGAACCCCCTGAACCCCCCCTGTATCCGCCCCTGGCATGTCCTCGTTGTGGCATGGCTTACCTGTGTGGCAAACATCGTCAAACTGGTGAACACCTAAGTGAACACAACCAACACTGTGCTATGCTGGCAGCACTCAGACATCGCATACTCCAGTAAGTTAGAGTGTTATCATCAACTCACATGACAGATTTTGAGTGCTGTGTGATAAACAGGTGTGTTAGTGTTGTAACTCGCTTTTCTCTGCCTGCTCCCAGTCCCGTGCCATCTCCACACTTATACAAAGGGACGACGATAACTACATTTAGAAGACTGTTTATTGACACGACGAAGAAACACAACTAGACATGACGAACTCAAGACGAAGACATGATGAACTCTCAAGACGAAGACTGCTTTTCATACCACAGCAACACGCGCATGCACCAACATGACGTACACACGACGTACACACGACGTACACAAAATAACGTACTACAACATAACTCCCTCCCAAGAGTAGAATCGTCCTCGATTCTAATAATAAAACAGAGTAAAAAAGAGGAAAAGATCACACAAATCACTCAATCATACCACACCAGTCACACCCATAAATAAACACCTCTGCCTGCACTGCAGATTATTAAAAACTCTGTCCGCCCACCCAGAACACCAGCCACGATCGCTGTCACATGTGTGGGAACTGATAACCTCAAAACTCTAACTAACTTATGCTTCACTCAACACACCACCTCACGATCACGCAAAAATTCTAAAAATGTGAGAGCACAAATCATAGGAATAACAAAAAGAACAAAATCCACTGGCTCTGTGGGGGCCTCTAGTTATCCTCATAGAAGAGCAAATCAAAAAACAAACAGAACACACGCGCTGTGCGGGCGCCTCTTTACCCTCGAGGAGAGCAAATAATAAAGAACAAAATGTTGGGAGAACAGAAAATACAAAACTCACATACTCCTCACGTTCACAACAACACACGTACCCTCTCACCAACGAAACTCCTCACGCCGTCTGCCATGTCGTCCACCATCTCCAGGAGCGCTGCTCAGCGTCCACATCCTCACACTGCAGCCTTCACCTTCCATCCTTCTTTTTTTTTTTTCAGTTTTTCTTCTGGGCACAGTTTTACGTCGTGTCCGGGACCATTCATCCTTCTTTTTCCTTTCCTTTTCTTCTGGGCACAGTTTTACGTCGTGTCCGGGACCACCAGTGACGACGACTGACAAGAGACGGGAGAGACGAATGATGAAGGACGAGGACGACAGACGAACTTCTTGAAGACGGACGAAACTGTGACGATAGGACGACTGGAGATGACATCGGAAACTGGGGGCGAAGGCCACGCAGGACGAATCCAGAAGTTGAGATTTACAAATTTCCATTACCGCTGCCACCACTGTTGTAACTCGCTTTTCTCTGCCTGCTCCCAGTCCCGTGCCATCTCCACACTTATACAAAGGGACGACGATAACTACATTTAGAAGACTGTTTATTGACACGACGAAGAAACACAACTAGACATGACGAACTCAAGACGAAGACATGATGAACTCTCAAGACGAAGACTGCTTTTCATACCACAGCAACACGCGCATGCACCAACATGACGTACACACGACGTACACACGACGTACACAAAATAACGTACTACAACATTAGTGCCTTGTTATCATGAGAAAATTACAACTGAGTCTGTGTAACCGTTTCTGTGTGTGTGTGGGGTGGAGGTGGGGTGCAGGTGTGTGTGTGTGGGGGGGGGGGGTAGGGGTGGGGTGGGGGTGCAGGTGTGTGTGTGTGTTTCGGAGGGGGGGGGGGGGGGTGTGCCGTTGTGGGGGAGAAGGGGATAGAGGTGTGTGGGTGTGGGAGGGGGGGGGGGTGCAGGTATGTCTGTGTGTGTGTGGGTTGGGGGGGGGGGGGAGGGGGAGTTGGAGGGGAGGTGTGCGAACCAAACTTTTGGTCATCCGTAACATCATCACGCTGTATTTTCGAACTGCCTCTTTGTATTTCCTATTCTTGATGTTGTGTTACACTGTAACATTGGCTCAATAAGCCAGACTTTTAAGTTTGTGTGTTTTTGTGTGTTTGTGTTTGTGTGTGTGTGTGTGTGTGTGTGTGTGTGTGTGTGTGTGTGTGTGTGTATGTTGAATGTATGTGTGTGTTTGTGTTTGTGTTTGGTGTCTGTACTTGTATGGTAGTTCTTCAGTAATACGAGTGAACCACCGAGAGTCTGTCACAGGACCAGCAAGGGGGGGGGGGGTGCGGGTATGTGTGTGTGTGTGTGTGTGTGTGTGTGTGTGTGTATGTGTGTGTCTGTGTGTGACTGCATGTACGGGCTCTTGTGTTGGTGATTTCTTTTTGTGGAGCGAATGCGCACTTGCTCACCTCGCAGCCTATCTCCCTGGCCAGTTTGTGAGCTGGTCGTATTCACTCAACATACCCTGCTGCCACTCAGATTGGTCTTTCACAGTGTAAACCTGTGACCAGTAAACACAGACAAGTTCCAATAAATATGTCGAAATTGCCAGAGTCGATTCTAAAAAACAAATGGCAGAATGTGTCAGGAAAAATGTCGCTTCTGTAGTATGTGTGCAACCTATCCTGCTAGACGGTCACCTGCTTTGCAGCTTGATGTTATTAAGAATGTCTATAAACACTGCCTGTAGATTCCAGTCATGATGTCATTGAGCCATGATTATTATAACAATGACTTCATTCTTATTATTATATCACCAACGCATGGAATCCATAAGACGAATTCTATGTCCAGAGCTTCAAGTAAATGGTTGATTCTGTCTGTGTGTGTTGTTTGGTATGTGTGCGGGTGTGGTGGTGTGTGTTTGAACGCGTGTGTGTGGTGGTGGCATGTGTTTGGGTGCGTGTGTGTGTGTGTGTGTGTGTGTGTGTGTGCGTGCGTGTGTGGTGGTGTGTGTGCATGTGTATGTGCACTCTCCCCGTTGTACATTCTACAGGGCTAGGTGAGCTTCTGAGGATCTCTACTGGATAGTGTTTAGCAGTTGAGATTGGTGAAAGTGACAGCACTGGACAGGGATCACTGATTTCAAGCAGCTACTGCAGTAAGAGATACTCCAACAGCACACTACCTGTCATTGATCACAACACTGTGACATCACTTGTATAGACATGAGGTATACAGATTGTCTATGACACACACAGTGTTGTGTTACTATGTAGATATAATGATCAACTGAACTACATGTACTGTCTAGTCCAGTCTACTGTGGTATCAGTTTGACTGAATGTGTTCATGTCTACTCTCACCTACTGTTTTTACACTAGTCACTGTACAGAATAGTTACCGCTATGTCAGTTAAACCTGGAAAACTCTACTCTACAAATGTTTATACTGCAATGTATATTGCCATAGCAGTGTCAGCCATACCCTGTACATACAAGTTCATGCTACTATCCTTGAGATACACATCATATTTTACTCCAGTATTGAAATCTAGCAGCACTGCTAGCATTCGTGTGACAAGCAAGAAATACCCGTTGTGTGCTATCATGCCATGTCATAAAATCATCATGAATGGAGCCATGGCTCGACCCGAGCACACAGACTTCAGCCCTTCCACGTTTCCGATTGTTGCCGGCTTTTCAGTAGACAACAGGACTCATCCTGTCTGAACATGACAATGCGTCCAAGGTCCAATGTGTTTGTGTGTGCGCATGCGTGCACGCGTGGGCACGTTTTTGTATGTGTGTGTATGTGTGTGTGTGTGTGTGTGTGTGTGTGTGTGTGTGTGTGTGTGTGTGTGTGTGTGTGTGTGTGTGTACGTGTGTGTGTGTGTGTGTGTGTGGAGGGCGGGGGGGGGGGGGGAGGGGGAGGGAGGGAGGGGATGTGCATGGATGTGGATGCACGTGTGCGTGTATTTGTTATGCGTGAATGTGCATACATAAGGAGACACCATGCCAAACTAGAGTGTGCCCATTCATTACAAGCTCATGAACGGGATTCTTCCTCTGCCAGTATTTGCATTATGCGTGCACACATCAGTAATATGCAGCAGTGTTGTAAGGCCACACTTTGTTTTTTCTATGTTTCTCGTCATCGCCCGCGTAGGTTTTCAGAAATTTCGGAAGAAAAAAAAGTTCATACTACGTACATGTATGCACGCTGCACATGCTGCAGCAGCTAGATGCGTCAATCAAAGTCATAAACGTTTGAAGTGAACCACAGCAGCAAAGGAGCGCTCCCAGTGTCCTATCCGTTCTCTGCGATGAAGGCTGCCATGGCGAAGCTTTCATTTTTCAGTCTTTCACTGCCTGAGCTTCGTGGGTCCCAGGAATACCGTAAGTCGGACGAGTACCGTGGCAACTGGCGTCTGTGGAACGATGTCGTGGGCAGAAAATCCAAGCAATAGACGCATGGCGAGGAAAAGATGAGCAGCGTGGAGACAAGAGTTTGATAAGCGGACGCAAGAACCTTGAAGTAACAAAACCGAAAATGACCCGTGGGAAAGCGTTTGTTGATGCGATAACAGATAAATGTACATGTATGTTCTCTTCGCCATCTCGTATTCATCAAACTTTATACTCTCATTGTTGCAGTTTGCCTGATATTCATGGGCTGATGTGATAATGTAGTATGTATGGGACTACATGTACATGATGGTACAATGTAGTACTGTATATCAGTATACATGGTTTACGCAGTGTCTTGTATGAATCACGGATATATTATGCATGTAAAATGTATACAGTTTTCAGTAGAAATTGTTCTTGTTTTTTCCTTGGCTTTTGTTTTTTTTCCGCCCGCCCGCATACCTTTTGTTAAAATTTGCCGACGAGAAACATAGAAAAAACAAAGTGTGGCCTAATGATCAAATTCACCATGGTTAAGATCTACAATGTACTGTCGTGAACATTGAAATCAGATGGGATGACCGGGACCGGCACTCTTACTGCTGTTAGCATGTACACACTCTATAGTTTATGTACTGACTGTAAAAATGGACCAGCAGTGCTCACGACTGCAAGGCCAGTGCCCAGTGGCCGCTTGATTTCTCAACGGATTTCAATGTCCACGACAGCACATTGAAGTGTAGATAAATGGAGGTGGCAAAAGTCACGGACCCTGATTCTGTGGAAATACCCCCAGAGATCACTGGCCGTGCTCATGGGCAGTCACAAGAGTACGGTAACGTGCGCTTGGGGGGGGGGGTATCTGAGCCCTCTGGATTTGGATGAGCAGATACTAGTGTAGTTTGGATTTGCCACGAGCGCAGTGGCACACAGTGTTCAAGGGGGGGGGGGGGGGTGGTGCCAACAGCAAGTTGCAGTGTCAGCATGCCGGTATCGTACAGGCACGCCTAGACTGCATGTGATTTCAGGCTTCAAATTTCAACACTTTGTATGAAGTAAGCGTAGTACTTCAAGTATAAAGTACCTTGAATAGTGACACAATTAAGTACCGGTAGTCGGGTACAGAAAACAGAGTGACTTGGGAGCAAGTAGTACTGATGTCATAGCATTACAGCCGGAAAGTAGTAGTGATGTCACAGCAGTACAGCCGGAAAGTAGTAGTGATGTCACAGCAGTACAGCCGGAAAGTAGTACTGATGAGTGATGACATAGCCAATGCCCCGCTTGTAACTTAAAAATATTTATAATACCGGTACTGTCCCTCTCCATGCTTCCAGGATGGCGGAAAGGGCGGAAATTGAAATGGAAAACAAATTGTGAACGGCCCTAGGTGAGAAAGAGAACATAACTTCTTGGTGATCGCCGTCGGAAACAATGCACATTGGCTATGAGAGTTGTCACTGATAGGACTGGAAGATTGAACAATGCGATGTCGTTATTTAACCACCCATGATAGAACACAGATTGGGCCGAGCTAGGGCACTAGTGAATTTGCCACAAAAATACCCATAGCTATGTGAATAAAAATAATAATATCAAAGGCATGCCTGAAGTAGTCACGGTAGCTAAGTGGAATTTGCCATGTGACTAGCATTGATGGAGGTATGTTACAATACACGTACATGTAGAGTAGTGACAATACTACCATTGAAACTGGAGGATGGGACGGTCAAGGGTGGACTGTGAGGAGACTAGCAACAGCAGTGAGGGTGCACACACGCACATGCACTGCCGACTTGACCTTTTACTGGCATTTCTTTGGTTCGTCCGGAATCAGAACGTTGGCTGGGGTGGTGCCAAGTAGCATGGAATGGCGCTCGTACGACTTTGATTTACGGAAGCGACTGTCCGTGCCATACAGAAAATCAAAGATCCCCAGCATGCCAAAGTTCTGGTTGAACCTGCGTAGCAGCAGCCAACATAAAACAAAAAATAATATCAGTTTTTTTACGAGGTACACAAACTCACCGCCAGGCACATGAGGCTAGCATGGAGTCACCAGTGAGACGGTGCTGGTAGGCCGGGCCTGCCAGGCTCAACTGACCAGAGGTCTCGGCATCATCGAATGGCAGACTCACCAAACTGAGGGCATTGTAGTGCATTGGATCAGAATCAGACAATACCTATAGGAACATTCATGGTCAGAAGAGACAACAACCATGACACTGGTATGCAAGTGAACTGCTGGAAGCAGGGAGTATTTCTTTTTCTGTTGTTGGGGGGGGGGCAGGGACTGAGGGAGTAATATTCTTCTCTGTGCACGTGGTTTTTTATACATGCAGCCAGAAATGTTTTTTTTGGGGGGGGAGTATTTCCTTTTAGGGGTACAGTGGGGGGGGGGGGGCTCAAGTAAGATTGTTGCGTTCACCGCCTCCCATGTATGTGCAAGGTATTGGTACAGCTACCAATCAATGCAGAATGCACACACTACACTACTAACTTTGCATGATGGTAGTCGTGGTACTCGTTGGACGGCATGAACAGCAGGTGGAAGCCGCAGTGTGCGACGGACACGGAGGCCAGCGAGATGCAGGCCCACAGCAGCAGCAGCAGGCAGTGAGAGCCGAGCAGGACGGGACCAGCCATTACCGGCAATATGTTGGCGATGACATGCTCGACCGGGTGACAGTACAGCCCAGAAATGCTGATTGGTGCGGTCCACTCGTGGTGAACCTTGTGGATGTGTTTGTACCACAAGGGAATGTGAAGTGCCCTAGAGAAACACAAAGCAAAAGAGAGAGGAAGAGGGAGAGAAACAAAGAGAGAGAGAGAGAGAGAGAGAGAGAGAGAGAAAGGAGAGGGGGGAGAGAGGATGGAGAGGAGAGGGAGAGGGAGAGAGAGAAGGAAAGGGAGAGGGAGAGGGAGAGAGAGAGAACGTAGAACGTCAAACGACAACGACTGTGCAGATAATATTCCAGCATCCGGAGGCTCATGGGAAAGAGAGAAGACGGCAGAAACACTCTCCAACCCCAACCTGTTCTTTCGGGAGTGCCCGGGCTCGATATTAGGCCCTCTGTTATTCATTTTATATATCAATGATTTGCCTAGTGATGTACCTGATACTTCCTTGTATGCTGATGACACTGCACTCATGAAATTCGAAGCCTCACTTCAGCAACTTCACCTATCTCTACAGCTGGACATAGAAAAGGTCGTGTCCTGGATGCGTCGCTGGCACCTATCCCCCAATCTCAACAAAACCAAGGCCCTTATCATCGGCTATGCGTTGGCAGATAACATTGCGTTGTATTTCCCAGGATCTCCCCAGCCTATTGAGATGGTGAGTGGTCACAAACACCTAGGAGTAGTGATTGATTCTGCTCTTTCGTGGTCAGAACATATTATTTCTGTTCGTTGTCGTACCAGCTCTGCTCTTGGAGCCTTGCTCTCTCATTTTCCCATCTCCCAAACAGTTGCAAGATTCTATTCTACCGATGCTATATTCTGCCTTTATTCCCGTAACTATGCAGAAGACGTTACTTCAGTAACGTCTGGCGCTAGCCAGGGTCCACACAGCTTTAATTCCCGTAGCTATGCAGAAGACGTTACTTCAGTAACGTCTGGCGCTAGCCAGGGTCCACACAGCTTTAATTTGGTGTTTGTTTGTGTGTTTGTTTGTTTGTGTCACGCCTGGAGCTATCCCGTATCTGTCCCGTATCTGACCCGTATCTGTGACTACAAAGGCTCTACAGGATTGTACATAACAGCTGTCCACAATATTTGCGGGCTCCTGTATCTGGCCCGTACCGTACCAATATTCGTCGTATTATGTACATGTATATGACTCCCTGATGTAGAGGGAGATGTGGAAAGAAATAGGGAGACGAGGAGGAAATTAAATTAGAATGGACGCCGAATAGGTGATAGGATGCGTCAGCATAAACATACTTTGGAAGAGAGATCCCGTCGTCTCTAAAATAAGCGTGAACGAGCGATTCAGCGCCGGTCACAGGAAACGTCGGAAGAGAGATCCCGTCGACTCCAGAACGCCAGTGATCGGCAGAGTCCGCGCCGGTCCCAGGCAACGCCAGGACAGACATCCTCTCATTTGACTTAGAAAATCTCAGATTTTGAGTTTTTTCCGCTCCATACATATTTTATTTTCATTATTTTATTGGTTTGGTGAGACTCCCATGATAGGTATCCATTTACCTCTGGAGAATCCGTAAATAAACAAACAAAATGTCAGGACAGACATCCCGTCGAGTCCAGAACGCCCGTGATCGGCAGAGTCTAAGCCGGTCCTCGGAATCGTCAGGACAGACAACCCGTCGAGTCCAGAACGCCCGTGATCGGCAGAGTCAGCGCAGGTCCCAGGAAACGTCAGGACAGACATCCCGTCGACGCGCAGAAAAACTAAATCTGCAGCCTCTTTTGCCGTCAGACCGGATAAGTATTTTAGGAGACTAAAGTGTTGTAATGTGCTCCACAGGCAACCATGCATTCGGCGTCGTCATTGGCTCAACAGGTCAATGTACATGTATTACTACAAAAAGGCCAGAAAATCCGATTTATACTGTATTAAAATCAACTAATTTTCGCTGGCGATTTTATTTCGCTGATTTCGCCGCTTGGTACCAACCGGCCAAAGTAAATCGCAGGCCAAAGTTTGTCACAGAGGCAAATGATGCATGATTGAGCAATGGATGCATGTGAGAGCAAAAGTACCGATCGATTTCTTTTTGAAAACTCCAATCGGCCAAAGTTTAATGACGGCGAAAAGTTTCGTTTCTCATCGGCCAAAGTTTCTCATCAGCCAAAATTTGTTGATTTACAGTATAAGGAGATAAAAAGAGAAGAAGGAGCAAACCAAAAGTAGATGATATTAAAGAAAATTACACAATCTGCAATAAATTCTGCAAATACTTTTGCCTAAATCATAATATTCAAACTGATTGAAACGTTATGATCTTGCGTTTGAAAGCCCTATTTGAATATTGCGGGCAGCTGTATGTGGCCAGCTGTGTTTGATGGTACGGTACGGTACGGGAGACGGTGTCGTATTACCCTCGATCGTACCTGTCCCGTACCTATCCCCTACAGGTACCGTGCCATCAAAGACGGCTGGCCACAATGCATATTCAAATAGGGCTTTCAAATGCAAAATCACAATGTGAAACAACTTGGAAGAATTAGTATGTATGCGAAGTGTATCGGGGGATGCATGCAGGGCGCGCGATAGTGCGGGTTCGAATCCCAGGTTATGGCTTTAAAAAAAAGGATTTTTTTAAAGAATTTATACCATCCCTATGCTTTTTTTTGTCTAGGTCATCAAGGCAAAAAAGCATAGCGTAGGGCCCTGAGCTTCCAAGCTCTCTCGTTTGGTATTTGTTTGTTTGTGTGTTTGTGTCACGCCTGGCGCTATCCCGTATCTGTCCCGTACCATACCGTACCATCGAACACAGCTGGCCACAAACAGCTGGCCACAATATTCAAATAGGGCTTTCAAATGCAAGATCATAACGTGAAGCAACTTGGAAGAATGAATATGAAAGCGAAGTCTATTGGGGAATGCATGTAGGGCGATAGCGCGGGTTCGAATCCCAGGTTATGCCTAAAAAATTGGAGAATTGAAAACATCCCTATGCTTTTTTTGCCTAGGTCATCAAGGTGGTAGACGGTGTCGTATTACCCTCGACCGTATCTGTCCCGTCCCGTACCATCAAAGACGGCTGGCCAGAAACAGCTGGCCACGATATTCAAATAGGGCTTTCAAATGCAAGATCATAACGTGAAGCAACTTGGAAGAATTAGTATGTATGCGAAGTGTATCGGGTGATGCATGCAGGGCGATAGTGCGGGTTCGAATCCCAGGTTATGTCTGAAAAAAATAGGAGAAATGAAAATTTTCATATTATTTTATGCTTTTTTTGCCTAGGTCATCAAGGCAAAAACGCATAGCGGCGTAGGGCCCTGAGCTTCCAAGCTCTCTCGTTTGATTACGCTGACATAGCATGGTGTGGTCTTAGTGCAGCTGCTGTTTCCAAGCTTGAAATTCACCATAGAAAAATAATTAAACGGCTATTTGGAAAATCCCTCTCATGCATAACAGTAAGCATATTATACTGTCTCGTAGCCTCCTCTCCACTTGCTGATAGACGCCAAGCACACCTGTGTGCACTCGTTCAGAAAATTATTTATCTTAAGCAAATCCCCAGGCACTTCAAGAAATATGATTGGTTCCAGCGAGAGAGAAAATACAAGACACCAGGTATCATTACCTTCCCCTCAATTGTCCCTAATGATCAAATCACCTGTCTCTATGGCTTGCACATTTTGGCTCAAACTCTCTTATAATATTCGCTGTTCACCGTATCTCTCAGCTTTTAAAAGGATGCATTTCAGTCAAAATAGTATTGTGCTACCTGCTGTTGACACATGGTGACACCTCCCTTCCTTTTCTTCTTTTTTTTAATGCTATTTCCGTGGTTGGATTCACCCTCCCTTTCTTGTATTGGCTATGTATTATTATGTGCCATGAAGTGGAGACGATAAATAAAAATAAATAAATATCCGAGTAGTTGTATGCTGGCTGAACTGCAGCCCATGTACTCACAGCAATACGGGAACTACAGACTGTCAACACCTCAACAAATGGCGTTCAATACGCAATTCCACAATACAGGACAGGCGGAAACAGTCACGGTGTGATTGGTCCAGCCATACCCTAGTCTTTCATACAGTTTGTGTATGACATGGCAGGGGCACATAACCTCCTCGGCAGTACGTGTGAACATGCACTGGTGGCCAAGCAGTTAGTCCGGGCATGGCCTGACCAGCCACCCCGTAGCAGCGTTGCCATCCCGGCTGGTGTTAGGACTACTCATGCCCACAGTAATGGCACACCGCTGAGATATAGAAGACGGTCAAGACTAAAATACACACGTAAACAGACATGATATATCACCGGTGCAAGCATTGTTCGATCATGCGGGCTCGACAAAGTCATGACATGAACCCCACCTTATTTTCCTGTGAACACGCAAGGCAACTTCACCTCACTGCTGATCATTCCTTACCGGTGCGAATAGAAGAAAATCACCTCAAAGATAAACATAGAGATTGCCAGCTCCACCAAGCACCACTGGAAGGACGGCAGGGTCTCGGCAAATAATCCGCCGCGCTTTTGGAAGATCCAGTAGAGTGCAAGTTGGCTGCTATAACCCACAGCCAACTGGTTTAAGAGGACAACCTTCAAACACTTCTTGAACGTCTGCCATTCCACCTGTATGGAATCACACACACAAAGACCGAGGATTGATAGAAGTTGAGCTAACAGGGTCCGACCTTGGACTACTGGTTTCAAATGCCACATACAGTTCAGTCCAGCAAAGTGCGACCACTGGCGCTCTTTCTCTGCCAGGCTCAGGTGGGCTTTAATTCGTAGCACCCTCGCTTCTCAGCCGTTCGTAGCGCCTTCGCTGCTGCTCAGTTCGTTAGCAAGTGATCAAATGTCCCTTGTCAGCACTAGCACTGTACATGAATCCAAAAATAACTAACATATTTGCCATTACATGTATTACCAAGAGTACATAACCCCCAAGAGTGTGCAACTCCAGCTATGGGGTCTGCGACGGCAGAACTTCACATAACATGATGAACCCGTCACATTATTTGCACTCTGGGCATGATTGATACAGGGTTGTACGCAACTAGGGCTGAAACGATTATACCGAATAATCGACTCGTTTGATAACTCTAACGATCGAGCAATCGTTTAGATTACCGATTACGATTATTTTGCGTTTTTTTTAATTTGTTCCCAGAAAGTACTGTAAACCCTCGTTTTGTGAAGTTTCAATCAGTTTCCGCTGGGAGTATGCAGTTGCCAGGGGTATGGTTCATGTTCTGAGGTTAAATTGACTTCAAAACTGCCATGTTTCGGAGCTACCCTTTCACTAATGCAGATTTGTTGGTATTATGAAAGCATAGTTTGTGGAAACAGAGTAATGTTTGCACAGAATTATGACTCTATTTGCTAACGATTATAATCGATTACTCGATCGTTAAGCTAAAGAGTAATCGATACGTGAAAATCCACGATCGTTTCAGCCCTATATGCAACCCAGCTTTGGGTACAACTCTCTTGTGGTCACTTTGCACTGTTTTCCAGTGTAACCTTTTTGAACCATGTCACGTGATGTCAAGTTCTGCCGTCGCAGCACAGCATAGAGGTTGTGCAGGCAGTTGCACACTCTTGGGGGTTACCGGTATGTACTCTTGGTATTACACATTACGAAATCAAGCGGCGAAGGCGAGCTTTCCACACACAAAAGCAGCATGCGCAAACACCAACAGAAAGTACCCGTGACATACGCGTAAGAATGTCCTACAGTACCAACATGCACGCATGCACATGCACACACACACATGCACACACGCACATGCACACACGCACATGCACACACGCACATGCACACACGCACATGCACACACGCACATGCACACACGCACATGCACACACGCACATGCACACGCACACACATGCACACACACACACACACACACACACACATACACACACACACACACACACACACATGCACATACACGCATGTGCGTGCTCATACACACATGCACATACACACATGTGCGCGCTCATACACACACGCACACACACACGCACACACACACGCACACACGTACGCACATGCGCGCGCTCATACACACACGCACACGCGCGCGCGCACACACACACACACACACACACACACACACACACACTGTCACTACCGGGCGGCACACCGAAAAGAACGTCTGGCGCATAGAATAGCATAACTGACCACAGCTGGCTTCTTTTTAGGCTGGATACGATATTGCAAGATGCTCGAAGGGGTTCCAGTCAGCTCCACGAAGATGAAGAATGCATTGAACAACCAGTAGAAGGCGACCATGGAACTCCATAGAACTGCAACACACACCCGATAGCACCAAACACAGTCACCATTACTTGCACAATGGTTTTTAAAACAGATCCAATGCCAGATGCCACACCGGTTACACAACCATTTTCACATTCACTGCATAAGCCCATACTGCTCATGTGTAAATTACGCTGTGTGTAGCCGCGAGCTGCTACATTCCCACGCTACTTGTGATCAGTATTATTCTAGCTACATAACTGGTTGTTTTAGTGATCCTTACGATGTGACGATGTTCCACTTGTGTTAGGTTCACGATCTCACATATGCACGCACTCGCACACTCGTATGCTCTCGCACACTCGTATGCACTCACAGACTCGTACTCACCTTTACAGACTCGTACTCACCTTTACTCTCGTACTCACCTGTTCGGTCCTCCACCTTCTTCCATCATACGATTAGTAATATTACTACATGTATTAATAGGTCGCGACACTGAGTTATGTCTTGTCTCATGTCACCATCTGTGCATACGCGGTTCGGGCACACGCGCGTGCTCGCGGCTCGCGCGAACTGAACCATGTGAACCGTGAGCAGTACTTTCATCCATATTTGCATGCAACCTGCCCTTATTCATACATGTACTGATAGTGTAGTCAGTGCTGTTGTTAGTTTTCTGTTTCGCAAGTGGAGACAAGTTGTAGTTTGTTTTCCTCTGCTCGAATGATGTGTTTGTTCTTGCAATAAGTCCTTCCGAATAATATCTTTCTCCTTGTCTGAGTCCTGTTCCATCGTGTCTGTTGTGAGAGTCAAGTGACTTTATTAGTGAGGGTTGTGACAGCCCGGACAGCACGAGATTACGAGTCCAGTGATCCGACATTCTGGTCCTTCGAGCCGGATCCTGTTGCGATTCGTCAGGTATGGACACATCGGAACATCAGACATCAGAAGTGGACGACGGAGCGAGCGTTGCTTCTCCTCGTGAGGAAGCTGCTGCTGCCGCCGCCGCTGAGGACACGCTCGGAGAGACAAGAAATTCGAGTGATGTTTCGGTTCTCGAGAAGCTCGTGAGAGATCGAAGCAAATTGAAAAGCAGTTTCACAAGAGTGGCTGGCGAGTTGCAGCGGGAGTTTGCTAAAAGAGCACCAAGTCTGCGGTACCTAGCTAGAGATTTACAAGAAGCTGAGCAACTAGATCAAGAGATTCGGGAGCTGGTTACCAGACACAGGGAAATCTTGGAGTCATGAGATGACGACCGGGAACTGCTCAAACTAGATGGTTGGGACAGGGCGTACAGGACGCAGCGATCCTTCCTCTCCGATGTAAGCTCATACGTAGAGCGTGAGGAAAGGATGCAGGCTTCAACACGTAGTCCCTCCGTTGGTGTTGGCAGAAGCAGTTCCAGGTCAAACTCGAGAGGCACCCTGGACTTGGATGCCATGGAACAAATGTTGATGGTAGCAGAGCGTGCGCCGAATTCTGATATCCCTGGTGCCATTGGTCACACTTCGTTGCAGACGAGCAACAAGAGTCCTGTCACTGCAAGGGCTGCTGAAGTCCATGAAAGCAGTCTGGATGGCGTGCCTGCTGGCAATGCTGGTCATTCATCAAGTGGTGCTGGGCACCCAGCCATGCAGACTGTAAGTTCTAGTCTTGCTATTATGAGTGGCAGAAGATCAATGCCTGTGCTTGGTAGGACAACCCCTTCTTTGTCACCTCTACAAGTCAATAGGCCAGGTAGTGTATTGGGTACACTCACTGCATCCAGTAAGTTGGCTGGTACTACTACTAGTAGAAGTCAAGCAAGTGTGACCACCAGGTCAAGGGCACCTCAACTGGCTCTGGGTGTGGGTACACAAAGTGTGAGTGCTGTGCAAGTTGCTCAACAGCATCAAGTATTAGTTTCTGCTGTGAACAGTGGCAGTGTACCGTCAGTACCTGTGCCAGTGGCAGCTCCCTGTGCTCCACCAGTGCTAATGTCCGCACCCACAGCCACCATGCAGCTACCAACAGTGCATCAATCGGTAGCCACAGTTAGCAACACTGTGCCTTTTCCAAGTTATTGGTCAGCCCAGCAAGCATGCACCCAGGCGATGCCACCACTGCAGCCTGCGCTGCTGCAGCAGCCACAGCCGCAGACAGCTGCACCTATTATTTCAAAACTGCCAATTTTCAATCCAGCAGCTGGACAGCTCAATCCATCGGCCTCATCGTTCAAGCCCATAAGTAGGCCAGCAGTGACCCTGCCTGTAACAGCACCAGTAACTGTTCAGTCGACACAGCTTCCACCATCCTACAAGCCGCCCACCATGCCGGTAGTAATAGAGCAAACTGTGAAGCCCATGGAACTGCCTAAGTTCAGCGGACTGGACCAGGACTACATTCCGTGGCGCCAAAGGTTCATCCGCGTCATCCATGAAAATCCCCGGTACACGAGCGATCACAAACTCGCGAGGCTGCGTGAGGCAGTGGATGGAGGCCGTGCTGCGGAGATTGTGAGAGGGATTCTGGATGGCCCGGACGCCTACAGCCATGTATGGACCGAGCTCGATGCTTGGTATGGTGGTAGCGACAGGCTAATAGAGCACCAGATTCGGGATGTAGTGAGTCAAGCACGTATTACCAGTGACGCAGACTTGAGTGGGCTGCAACGGTACGCCATCAAGCTCCGTACCACTGTCGCCAACCTCCGAGCAAGTGGTGTGAGTCCTGGAGTAGAGCTGTACATAATGGCGTCCGAGAAGGTACCCAAGCGTCTCTTGGTAAAGTATTTCGAGAGGCATGGCCAGGTCAATGACGTCTTCACGTTCTCTGCATGGCTGGTGGAGCACGTCCGCACTCTGAAGCGGGCAGCCGACAGGATTCCCGCTGAACGCCCCAAAGACATCAGCAGTCAGGCTACCAGGGAACGATCCACGGCCACACACCGTACGTTTGTTGGGACTCATGACGCCGTCAGCAGCGGTGCCAAGGCGTCTTGCAAGAAGTGCAGTGGGCAGCACACCCTAGCCGAATGCAGCAGCTTCAAGGCATTGTCAACTAGCAAGCGTTGGGATTTGGTGAGGTTGCTCGAGCTGTGTGCGTGTTGCCTGTCATCTGGGCACTGGGCCGCTAGCTGCAGCAAAGACACCTGCAGTAAGTGCAACAAGCGGCATCATGGTTTGCTGCATGCTGAGATGAAGGGCCAGACAGGTGCGAGGCGCGGGCGACCCTCGCCAGCTCAGAGGTCTGTCACCAACCATTCTTCCTCGTCCACAGCCAGCCGTACTGGAGCTGGCTCCATTGGCAACTCTGCTGCGGTGAACGAGAACAGCCTCAGTACGCATGGATGTGGTACCACTGCCGCATTCATGGTGTTGCAGGCCGACGTCATCGGCGAACATGGCAAGAAGATGAAGGCCACTGTGCTGCTTGACTCCGGATCATCTTGCAGCTACATAACAGAGGATGCAGCTCACAAGCTGGAACTTGAAGGCCAGAAGTCACAAGTGGAAACGGCAGTCATCGGCGGCGGCAAGGTGACTGGGCTGAGACAACAGGTCAGCGTCAGCGTGTGCCGCACTGATGGTGACACTCCGAGCGTCACTGTGCTTGATGCCTGGGTACTGCCAGCAGTCACGGTCAACCTGCCACCAGTCGACTGGAATGCAGAGAAGAAGCACTGGTCCCACCTCCAGGACATACAGTTCCCCGACTCAGCTTGTCAGAGCATCGACCTACTGATCGGATTGAACGCTGCCAGCCTTCACACTGCGTATGAGGAGCGGAGTGGCAGTGAGGGAGGTCCGATTGCTCGGCTTACACCGCTGGGGTGGATCTGCTTTGGCCCAACGCCAATCGACGCTACTGCACCGCAAGCATTCACACTGCATGGCGCCTCCGTATCCAGCGCAGCTCAACTCGACCAAATGGTGGAGAAGTTCTGGAGCCTAGAGGCTGTTGGTATGCAGCCTACAACCACGGAGTACCTGAGCCCTGCGGAGAAGCAAGCCGAGGCCGTCACATCCCGCAGCTTGAGTTACAGCGACTGCCGATTCCAGGTTGCCATTCCGTGGAAGGGTGGCACCAAGCCGAGTGTCCAGTCCAACAAACATCTCGCTTTACACCGTCTGGAATCTCTGCAAAGGGCACTTGACAAGTGGCCGTCAATCAAGCTGCAGTATACGAAAGTGCTGCAGGCGTACCTGGAAAAAGGATACATTCGACGCGTCTCCGAAGCGGCTGATCTCTCCATCCCTGACCAGTGGCACCTTCCCCACTTCCCTGTGGTACGGGATGACAAGACGACAACCAAACTTCGAGTTGTTTTCGATGCAGCTGCCAAGTGCAACGGATATTCGATCAATGACCTGATGCATGCAGGGCCTAATCTGATGAACAACCTTGTTCATGTCCTGCTGCGCTTCTGTCTCGAGCCCATTGCGATCGCCGGTGACATTACAGAGATGTTCCTTAAGGTTCAACTCGCTCCTGAAGACCGCAAGTATCATCGATTCTTGTGGCAGTCGTCACCGGGCACCATCGACACCTTTGAGTTCCTACGGCTGGTATTTGGCATCAAAGCCTCGCCATACCTGGCTGGCAGGGCGCTCAAACAAGTGGCAGAGGAGTGCTGTTCGACGGCGGTGCCTGCTGCTAAGGAAGCTATCGACCACAGCTTCTACGTTGATGATCTGCTCAACTCCCAACCAACTGAGCAACTGGCAATCTCTGTGCGAGCTGATCTGCAGCACACTTTGGCACGAGGAGGGTTCCATATTCGGAAATGGATCACCAACTCCCCCGCAGTGCTGCAGTCCATTCCTGTTGAACACCGCGCTGTGACAAATACCCGTGACATTGTCTCTCACGAGCAGCCACCTGCGTCTCCGAAGACTCTGGGGGTCACATGGGTTGCGGCGCAAGACCAGTTCACGTTCCGCTACCCAGAGCCGGTCGACGTAGAGTACACCCGGCGAGGTGTGCTCAGCTCCATGGCGCAGCTGTTTGATCCGCGTGGCCAGCTCAGCCCATTTACGATCCGAGCAAAGGTGAACTTCCAGCAGAGCTGCATCAGCGGGCTGGGGTGGGACGATCCTCTTGGCCACGAACAAGCTGTGAAGTGGAAGCGGTGGTTCAGCGAGTTTGAAGACCTCAGCTCTCTCAACATTGAACGAAGCTTCAAGACTGCCGACAGCAGGGGAGAGCTGCAGTTGCACACGTTCTGCGATGCATCCGATGCCGCTTATGCCGCTGTGACGTACGTGCTATCACCGCAGACTGATGGCGTCAACAGAGTGACACTCGCCATGGCAAAGGCCCGACCCTCCCCGGTCCGTCGCAAGTCCATACCCATGCTAGAGCTTCAAGCCGCTGTGCTTGGCGGTCGGCTGGGCGCCAATGTCGGCGTTGCTCTAAGCATTCCATCGGCCCGCCGGTTCTTCTGGACGGATTCTATGAATGTTCTTTACTGGGTGAGATCTCCAAGCCGCAAGTTCAAGGTTGAGGTTGGGAACCGGATCTCGGAGATTCAGGAAACCACCAGTAGCCGGCACTGGCAGCACGTACCTGGTAAACGGAATCCTGCCGACCAAGCCACTCGCGGTCTCTCTGCTGCGCAGCTCGCGATCAATGAAGTCTGGTGGCATGGCCCTGCGTTTCTTGCTGCTCCGGAATCTGAATGGCCAGCAAAGCAGATTGTCGTTCCCCAGGAGCTGCCAGGACTGACAAAGAAATCCATGTGTGCTAGCTTCGTCGGAAGTTCTACTGCTGCAGCACCCACTGATCTTGGTCCAGCCCGGTACTCATCGCTGGACAAGCTGATTCGCATCACAGGCTGGTGCCGTAGGTTTGCTCGCCGTGCGCGCCGTAAACCACAGCCAGCGGATAGCAGTCAACAGCAGGTCACTGTGGCTACAAAGACTGGGACGCTTGTCATCAACGAACTCTCGGCAGAAGAGCTGCAACAAGCGGAGCGTCTCTGGATCAGTCAGGCTCAGCAAGATGCGTATCCAGAAGTGTTCAAACGTGTCCTGGGCAACAAGGAGCTGCTGGGTTCGGATGCGTTGGTGCAGCTGCGACCTACCATGGATCAGTCTCACGGCATCCCAGTCATGCGGGTCGGTGGTCGACTACAGACGTCCCACCATCTCCCTGGCGAGCTGAGGAGTCCCACCATCCTGCCCCCAAGGCACCGCGTCACCCAGCTGGTGATTGGACGCGAGGATGACCGCTGTCGCCACTCAGTCGGGCCCAACCACCTCCTCTCCAATCTGGCCGACAAGTTTTGGATTGTTCGTGGCAAGATGGCTGTGCGTTCCCACCGCCATGCTTGCGTGAAGTGTCGCAGAACCTGGGCTAGGACAGCCAATCCAGTCATGGGCCAGCTTCCTGTCTTCCGCACAGCACCACCACTGCAAACCTTCTCTCGCGTTGGTATTGACTTTGCCGGCCCGTTCCACACTCGGCAGGGCAGAGGTCGTACCCAGCTGAAGCGGTATGTATGCGTGTTCAAATGTCTGCAGACAGGCGCCTGCCATCTGGAAGTTGTCAACTCTTTGGATGTGGACGGCTTCCTCCTATGCTTCACTCGCTTCTGCAAGCGCCGCGGAACTCCTACAGAGATTCTTTCGGACAACGGAACAAACTTTGTTGCCGCCGAGCGAGAGCTGAGGGAGGCTTGGAGTCAAGCTAGTGAGCAAGCAGGCCAGCGACTCGCTACACAAGGCATCAAATGGCGTTTCAACCCACCGTTGTCGCCCCATTTTGGTGGCTATTTTGAGTGCCTGCTCAAGGCAATGAAGAAGGCTCTCCAGTCCGTGTTGTACCGTGCCGACTTGACTGATGAGGAGCTCCAGACAGCGCTAATTCAAGCCGAAGCGTTGCTGAATTCGCGTCCTCTGACTGTCGTTTCAAGCGATGCTGATGACCCGGCCCCCCTGACACCGCTGCATTTTCTTGTTGGCCATCAAGATGTCTCTGCTGCCCTGGAAGATGTTGCTGATGCAGAACGAGTGGTACACCCACATCGCCGTTGGAAGTATGTTCAGCGGCTGACACGTGACGTGTGGAGCAGGTGGCTCAAGGAAGTTGTGCCGAAGCTGAATGTGCGCTCCAAATGGCACCGCGGCGAGCAGAATGTCAAAGTAGGTGATGTCATGATTGTGCTTGAGGAGCACACGCCACGAGCCCGCTGGCCACTCGGGAGAGTGCAAGCTACGTACCCCGGTGAAGATGGTGTAGTGCGCGTCGTGGACATCAAGATTTACCGTCGTTCAGTTGGCCGCCTTGTGCCGCTGGAGGTACCCGACGCTTCACCCGCAAACGCCATTCGCAGCGTCAACACCGGCATGACCATTGGTGACATCACCGAGTGATCAGTAATGTGTGTTCCGCTCATACTTTTCTTTCATCTTCTCACATAAATCTGTGTGTGTAATAGATTCTCACTCATAGAAGTTTCTTTTCGTTCGAGAGGGAGGTATGTTCGGTCCTCCACCTTCTTCCATCATACGATTAGTAATATTACTACATGTATTAATAGGTCGCGACATTGAGTTATGTCTTGTCTCATGTCACCATCTGTGCATACGCGGTTCGGGCACACGCGCGTGCTCGCGGCTCGCGCGAACTGAACCATGTGAACCGTGAGCAGTACTTTCATCCATATTTGCATGCAACCTGCCCTTATTCATACATGTACTGATAGTGTAGTCAGTGCTGTTGTTAGTTTTCTGTTTCGCAAGTGGAGACAAGTTGTTAGGACCAGAATGTCGGATCACTGGACTCGTAATCTCGTGCTGTCCGGGCTGTCACAACCCTCACTAATAAAGTCACTTGACTCTCACAACAGACACGATGGAACAGGACTCAGACAAGGAGAAAGATATTATTCGGAAGGACTTATTGCAAGAACAAACACATCATTCGAGCAGAGGAAAACAAACTACAACTTGTCTCCACTTGCGAAACAGAAAACTAACAACAGCACTGACTACACTATCAGTACATGTATGAATAAGGGCAGGTTGCATGCAAATATGGATGAAAGTACTGCTCACGGTTCACATGGTTCAGTTCGCGCGAGCCGCGAGCACGCGCGTGTGCCCGAACCGCGTATGCACAGATGGTGACATGAGACAAGACATAACTCAGTGTCGCGACCTATTAATACATGTAGTAATATTACTAATCGTATGATGGAAGAAGGTGGAGGACCGAACATCACCTTTGTTCCCTTTTCTAACCTTTTCTTCCGTTGGCCTGGGTAGCTGGATTCGCGCTCTAGTACATTCATGTCCATAGCTACCCAGGCCCTTGATAAGCTCTGACTTGGACACTTACTCTCTCTCTTTCCAACGAATCTCGACTTGAGACTAAGAGTTATTGACCTTCGTCCTTTTGTGACCGTGGCTGTTTGCGTGTGTGATCCGGTGATCCTTACACTTGTGATAGTCACGAGAAAACGTCCGAGTCTAATTACTAAGTACTTGAGCAGGTATTGAGCAGGTATTGAGCAGGTATATCTTCTTTTTTTTGCCTGCACTGACTATTTGATGTCATAACGCTGTTCCAGCTTTTGCCAGTAGGACTGAGCTCAGCTGAACCATGCTGGAAGAGATATCTCAGTACCGGCTGCATCAGTCAGAAAAACGACCGAGAAAAAGCTGCCGTGCTGAGTCGACTAGAACCGCCGTCATAAAACTAGCCACCATACAGGGAAATACATTTCAAAGTAAAGTCTTCCTCTACACCATGGTTAGGAGAGTATAACTGGCTGCAGCACAGTTCAGTATAAAGCACACTACTCCAGACCTGCCAAAGGTCATTTTTCTCTTAGGGCCTTCAAAAAAGGTGTTATTGCACTGTCATGTTTATTTATGGTGAAAAGGGAGAAGGACAAAATGTTATTATGTTATCACGTTTATTTATTTTTGATACATGTGTGGTCAGAATGGGAATATGCCCGCAACGTTATAGCCAGAACAAAAGTGATGGGGGGGGGGATCATTATAGGACCCAACATTTTGTGATTTCACCGCCATTTTGTGTCGTCATTTTGGCCGCTGCTTTCACCAACACCAGTAAAGCAACCGACCATCCCATGTATTTATTCACCGGCCACTGGAACCCGCCATTGATAATAATTATGGTTTTCAGAGGTAAGTGATGACTATGATACAATGACTCATACAATGACTCATACAATGACTCATACAATGACTCATGCAATGACTCATGCAATGACTCATACAATGACTCATACAATGACTCATACAATGACTAAGGGTGGCCACATCATGCGAATTATTTTGTCCAAAATTGAAAGTCAAAAAGCGAAAAAAACGGTCAAAATGTTTTAAGAAAATTCAAAAAATCCCCCAAAATGCAGAAAAAATTCGATCCGTTGCCATGGTTTTTACAGTACTCGTACCCAATAGTTCCAAAAAAAACAAAAAATCCACAAACTTCTTATCATGTGTGTCTGTGTGCTTCCGAATTCGGGGATGGGTGTCAAAAAGGCAAAGGTCAAAGGTGTGTGTATTTGAAAGTACTGTTTTCACATGTCAAACTTGGTAATATTGAGCAGCACATGTACTCTCCTGATGTGACATCACTGTCGTTCTCCAAAACGGCCAAAATTCAATCCTGATGGGGCCAAAATTCCAAAAAAATTCAAAGTGCGAAAATCCAACCAAAATTCAAAAATAATTGAAAACATTTTGTGGACAAGCCTAACAATGACTCATACAATGACTCATACAATGACTCATACAATGACTCATACAATGACTCATACAATGACTCATACAACGACTCATACAATGACTCATGCAATGCTGTGCTACTACATGTACAGTGAAACCTCGTTGAGAAGAACACTGATAAAACAAACTTTCGCTTTAAAAGAAGAACTAGTATTTGTAACTCTATTGGATAAATCACGGTGTATTCACTGGGTATAAGACAGTGTCTGCTCCAGCGCCGGGTGAGCCAGGTAATCCACCCGGTTGGGCGGCGCTTGGACCCGGTTGAAAATATAGTACCGGGTCACCTGTGACCCGGTTGGTACTTTACACTTTCGAACTTTGAATGGACTGACTACATGGCTTGTATGTGTCAGATACCTCTTCTTCTTTCGTAATTTTCTAATTCCTGTCCTCTCTTTTCTAAATGCGGCTTATTCATTCGCCTTTATATCATTGGGCATGTGTACCCGGTTCCGACCCGGTTGAAATGGTTGCGCCAGTTACACGTGTACCGGCTGTCCTACAATCCTAGAGCAGACACTGATAAGATATGGATAAGAATAACTCCCGTTATTGCGAACAAATCCCGTCGGTCCCTTGGTGTTCGTCCTAAAGAGGTTTTGACTAGATATGTATGTGATGTGTCCTCATCATGCATATAAGAAGGTGCGGCGCTCGCTCTCTGAAGTGAAGGGTGGTGCATTCATTTTGAAAGGGGGCGGTCCAAAAGTGAAGGAGGGCGCAGCGCCCCGCTATGTCGCTTTGGCGAGCACCCTGGCCCGTCGTGTTCTTTAAAACCCACTCACGGCTAGATAGAAGGAACTCGTTGCCTCCCGCCACATCGTGATAGAGCTGGTTCCATCTGTGCTGCCAGAACTGACTCGATGCATCCCAGAGTTCTGTCAGGTGCCTGCGGAAAACAGACACAACACACGTGGTACGCGGTGCATGATAAGACAACGGACTCCATCAAAGTGTCATGATCACAGAGCCCCTGGGTGAGCTGCAAACATCAGTGTTTCGATTTCCATGTTTCATGATACCGGGATAGTCTACTGTGAGACCAGAACTAGTGGAGGGTAACAGACAGGGGGCTGGGGGGGGTACACAAACGAAGGCAGACAGAAAGGACTAGTAGGAGTTCGTAGGGGGAGCCTACACAGAGACTAATAAAGCAGACTTCTAAAGTACTAGCTCGTTCTCCTGCTTTTTTTGCTTTCATATAAAAACACTATAGACTCCGGTGTTTTCTTCTCTGCCTGACCCGCATTAGCAATGTTGATACGGAGACCCTTGGTCGGTTTAGCTGCTTCTGCCCCGCCTCCACTGCTTCGCCTGCCATCGCTGTGTGCCTCCCTGTGATTTCCAGCGGGAGCTGGCGTTTGCACCATGATGGTTTCTCGTGACGTCTTGTGTCCTACTACAACCGCGAACCTTTAATTATCGCATCGGAGAGTGCGTGTTAGAGCTAGGTGTCAGATCCCTGAACGTCTCCTGAGCAGTCTGCTAGTATATGGGGGAGGGGGTGCAGTCACGCTGCACCCCCTCCCCCAAAAGTAAGGGGCGCTCGTTTTCCATCTCCAAGTACGTGGCGGTAGACACCTTTCAAGTCAGTAGATCATGCCGGTTCTTTTCTACCGTGAACGATTAGCAGGGTTAGTAGCGGTAGATTCTACTTTCCTCTCACGACATATCGACGCGACACGGGAAATGAGTGCTATCACGACACAGACCACCAAAACTAGGCTAGCCCCACTATCGCCATCACCAAAACTTGAAGATGACGCTCGCCCATAGCATTATTTATTATGCGGGAGAGAAATGAGTTGAAATAATTAAAAAAAAAACCAGAATACCGGTACCTGATCATTACGGACTAACTCAGCTACTCAGCTAGCAACAGGTGCTTACCGATGCGGAGAATTCTGAATGGCAGCCCAGTGATAAGGAGACTGGAGGTCCCGAGGACGACCACCATGCCGCTGTCAAGACTGACATGATCTCCCTAACCGAACTGATGCTCATGCCGCGCTGTTCTCCAAATCACTCTCCCACCGACACACCGAGCAAGAAGCCGAAACGGCCAAAGCCCAATGATTGCGGAAAGCCAACCATGTACCACAGAGACAGCAATCAAAATCTCGACGCTCCAAAGCCCAGCCGCTGTTTCTACTTCGAGTGTGCTACTTTGCAGCCAGTCCGATCGTGAATTTCTGTCAGACCGTCGACGATGCATTGCAACAGAGGAAAGGAGTTTTTTTAGTTTGTCAGCACGTCGCGTCGCCGACTATGCCGGACGTAGATCTACGTGTCGGCCTGTCCGTTCACACACGTGCACACCTGCTGAGCGGAAATGAGATTTTCGAGTGTACGAGTACTAGAGTAGACATCGGACCGACTCCATACCGAAAGAAGGACTTTTTTTAAATTGTTGTTCATCCTCGGCCCCTCAGGCCTCAGCCTCAGGCTTTTAGAATGATTGCTTTCATGGTTGTAACCTCATCGGCTCAGCGCTGTCCCCGAACGAAACCTGCAAGCCGTCAAAGTAGTGCAAGAGACCAATGATGGCCTTCCAGCACCATGACTAACTCCAAGGGAGATGTCGGAGATGTCGGAGTGGGTGGGACATACAATCATGTACAATCAATCACACACACACAACAGAGGCGAGCGGAGCATTTTAAGGGCGCGTTCGAATTGTCACTCTTTGACTTTTCGAGGAGTTTCGTTTTTCTGTAGAGGTGGCCTTATTGGCCTCTTCAGAAAAACGAAGCTCCTCGAAACTCCACAACCTCATCCGATGGGAGAGATGGATTGGTTCCGAAGAGTTTGGAATAGCTACGTCACGTAGGACGTGGAGATGGTCGATCTGATCGGACGTCATCATCGCCATGACCATTCCACTGAAAAACTCTAAAATGATAGAAACCGTTCTAATGCCGTAATGGGACACTCAACTAATCTCTTTAAAAAATGTGTTCGAACAGTTGATGGAGACAATTCGAACGCCGCCTAAAACTATCGAATCCTCGACGAGCAGGCCTGGCACAGTACAGCTACTGGTAGCAGTGGCAGTGCATGCTGCCCATGCACAGTACAGCTACCGTAGCAATGGCAGTGCATGCTACCCATGCACAGTACAGCTACTGGTAGCAGTGGCAGTGCATGCTACCCATGCACAGTACAGCTACTGGTAGCAGTGGCAGTGTATGCTGCCCATGCACAGTACAGCTGCCGGTAGCAGTGGCAGTGCATGCTGCCCAAGCACAGTACAGCTACCGGTAGCAGTGGCAGTGCATGCTACCCATGCACAGTACAGCTACTGGTAGCAGTGGCAGTGCATGCTACCCATGCACAGTGCAGCTACCGGTAGCAGTGGCAGTGCATGCTGCCCATGCACAGTACAGCTCAAGTCAGATTATTGCGTTCACCGCCTCCCATGTATGTGCAAGGTATTAGTACAGCTACCAATCAATGCAGAATGCACACACTACACTACTAACTTTGCATGACGGTAGTCGTGGTACTCGTTGGACGGCATGAACGGCAGGTGGAAGCCGCAGTGTGCGACGGACACGGAGGCCAGCGAGATGCAGGCCCACAAAAGCAGCAGCATACAGTGAGAGCCGAGCAGGACGGGACCAGCCAATACCGGCAATATGTTGGAGAGGAAATGCTCGACCGGGTGACAGTACAGACTAGAGTTGCTGATCGGCGCGGTCCACTCATGGTGAAACTTGTGGTTGTGTTTATACCACAAGGGAATGTGAAGTGCCCTAGACGAACGCAAAGCAAAAAGGGAGAGAGAGAGAGAGAGAGAGAGAGAGAGATAGAGGGAGAGAGGGTGAGAATGTGTGTGTGTGTGTGTGTGTGTGGGCCAGCTAGTTCGGTTGGTGGGTGCACTTGTGCCAGATAGTGTTGGGCCTGTTGCCAACGGGCTCGGCTGCTTGAAGGTGTATTGTTGTACCTACCACCTTTGTTGGTTTCAGGGTTCATATACTTTCTGTTTGAAGTATACATACCTGTTAACCATGGACTGCTTCTGGCTAGATTAACTCTTGTGTAATCAATGGTGCTAGTGAAGCTTATATCAGATCCACTCTGATTTAGCCACCGACACTAGTACCAAGTATTACCTTCACTGGGGGCAGGGGTACCTGCAGTTGGATCCCGGGACGGATACCCTGATGCCGTCAATCCTTTTCTGCACCTTGTCCTCACCCACTTACTGAGGTGTGGTGAGCCCATAAGTGGGATCATTTCAAGTCCACCCTAGTTTGGGGATTTCAGGGGGTGTCGGTCGTTGGGTGGTTCAATGGCCAATTGAGTCATCTTTCCAAGATTCCTTTTGAGTCTCTCTCCCCTCTCCCGGGGAGACCCACGTGACCAGTTTTGGCAGTGAGCAACAAGTACAAGTACAAGTGTGTGTGTGTGTGAGTGTGTGTGTGTGTGTGTGTGTGTGTGTGTGTGTGAGAGAGAGAGAGAGAGAGAGAGAGAGAGAGAGAGAGAGAGAGAGAGAGAGAGAGAGAGAGAGCGGCTTTCCTACTTCAGATTTTATTTCCGTGAGCGGCAACCCCGAAATACTGAAAAATTCGAATGTGAAATGCAACCCCCACCAAATTCTTGCAGGGATAGCATTTTTCTCACAATGTAGCGGACATTATGCGTGGACTGTTAGGCACGAACGGCTTTTGCAACCAACACAGGCCATTTTGTAGTCCACAATCACCATCACTGCATCAGTCACATTCCACGGCCACCCTCCAAACTTTCTCCGGAAATTCAACCCTTTCCCACATTCTCCTTCCGTGTTTGTGAAGATAACCTGACTAAACTACATGTAGATGTGTAGATGTAAAAGTTCCGTGTTTATTTAGACAGTCACACCACTCACTGCGTGAATCAACCGTACACGCTGCCCCTTCTCTGTTCTGGACCAGGCCATTCAGTGGTGACAACAATCATGTCTTCTAGCTTGGCATTGGCCACCTGTCCGTGCTTCCATCATCATTATCATCACTCATAGCTGGAACGATTCAGGATACGGAGCGATGATGAACTCGTCAGGCAAGCTGGCCATGATGATGCTGTCTTTGTACGGCTGCCGGATTAGGTTGGAGATATCGGCCGTTCCCTTCACTAACACCGTCGTTACCAGTTCATTGTTGTAAGCCTCTACTCGTAACGAACACTGTTCTGGCCAGTCACTCACAGAGTCACACTCACACTATCCGGGTATGTTCCAGTGCGCACGGCACAGATGTGATGACTTTGTTGCCAGCCATCAGTCTGCCATCCATGTCCGCCATCACCGGTGCCATCATCATCGGTAGGTCAGCCAATTGCAAACCTACCTCCAGTTGACCAAGGCGGCCATAGCAGAAAGCCTCGGAGTTGATGTTGAACATCCACACACGTCTGGATTCGTTTGAATGGGTTTTCCAAGTTGCCAATCGGTGCTTGGTTTGGCTCACCCCAAGCCAGCCAATGATCTACTTCGGACTTCGTCGGGTCATGACCTGTACTTGCATCCACGATCTTCCGAAACTCGCCACCACCAACGGCCGCATCAGCCTCCTTCACCGGTTGCTCGGTGAAAATGGGCGAAACTGAAGCAAAAGCGAGAAAAGCGATCACAACTACCAGTAGATCTACCAGTACCAGGGAGTCGTCAAATAAGTAATTGACGACTAGACTCCCTGACAACTGCACGTACTTGTGCCAAGTACCATTGCCATGCCGACCCACCACCAAATTAATGATTTTTAAAAATCATTAATTTTGTAAATGTCTCGTCTTCCATGACGTAGATCTACTCTGTCCAAGGGACGAAGCGCATGCGCGCGTGACACTGATACAGTACAGACATGTACAGTCATACCAGTACTTGTAGTAGCAACGACTCCGAGTCTTGAAAGGGTTGAGTTATCATCATGATCATGACATGGTTATACCGGGGGTCCTGATTTTCACGACTCCCCGCTATGTAGACTCTACAACATCTACCGGTTCGCGGTAGGTCTACGCGCCGGTAGGTCTACCCGATAATCGTAATATTTCTTGGCGCATTTTCTCTGTCGGACGGTTGTTGCAGTGCTGGTGATTTGTGTGGGTCGTGTAGTTGTGTGCGGTGTTCTCCATTGTTCACTGTGGACAGAACGATTCACGCCAGGCGGCGTGGACAGAGTGAGGCCTTGACGGAGTGGTTGGTTGTGACGGTTTTGCTGCCGGCGCAATGCCGGACAGTGTGCGGTACAACATCAAGTACTTGGTATCCAATGTAGATGTGTCACTGATCTTGGAGGACCTGCTGGAGAAGGATGTCCTCAGTGAAGAGGAATACGTTACTGCCTCTGGAAAGGAAAACGAGAAGTGGGATCTTTCAAAGTATGTAGTGAGGCTGATGCTAACGAAAACGGACGAACAGGTGGATAGATTCCTGAATTTGATTCAACACAGCCAGCCTCATGTAGCGGAGCATATTGCCAGTACCATGGCGAACCGACGCAAAGCAACTGCCGGTGGGAAAACTGACCGTCCAACGAAGCCAATGTCGGCAGATCGTGAGTCAACACGTGACCCGTCCTCCGGTAAGTGTTCACATTGACTACAGTGGCGTAGGAAGGTGTGTGTGTGTGTGTGTGGAAGGGGGTGGGGGGGGACTCGTTGAACATGCATGTAACTACTGTTGTGGACATGGAAATCCAGTCGCACGTCTAGCGGCCCCAGGGTGCTGGCCATGCAGCCGTGGATAAGCTGTACACACATGCATTTTATGCGCTGCAGTGCGCTAGTCGCAAAGGATCAACAATCATGTGCCCTGCACGCAGCATTCTGTACGCGCTGAGGGCGCCGGCCCCGGTCAATCGACGGGATTTCCATGTCCACGACAGTACATTTGCATGAACAGTTCTGCTCAATGAAATCCAGTCACAGCATCACTCAAGTACACGCTGGAATGAAATCCAGTCACAGCATCACTCAAGTACACGCTGGAATGAAATCCAGTCACAGCATCACTCAAGTACACGCTGGAATGAAATCCAGTCACATCATCACTCAAGTACACGCTGGAATGAAATCCAGTCACAGCATCACTCAAGTACGCGCTGGGCGTTGCGCAGCCCTAGACCTGCAAACAATGGGCTGCAAAATGGTGCAAGGCACAAACTTGAGTGACGCGACTGGATTTCATTGAGCAGCACTGCCAGTACTTACTTTTTAGCAGTGAGAACTGCTTACAGAGTTCAATTAGTTTATGCATTCACATCAATCGTATTGAGAGCTGACCCTGGGAATGCAGTGGGTTCAGTTAGATGGACAGTCCTGAGGTTATAACCAGATCTACATGACGAATCTGTAGATCTACAAGAAATGCAGGTGCCACCGGCGTGAAGCACTGTCATGGGTCACTAGATTATTGCTAGGGAGTTCAGTTCCAGCCTGGGTCAGGTGAAAACTGCAGTCACAACTCGCGTGTAAATTTTAACCCTTTGTGTACGGACTGTACAACTTTCGATCTCCTGGGATCGAAACTTTTCAAGATTTTAATCTATCGTAACTCAGTCATTTCTTTTTTTATTTTCAAAAACTAAGATATGTAGGTCGAAGAGAAAACTCCCAGCTGTCCATTGAAACAATCGCTGAAGCGCTCCGATGTGCGGTTCTGGGAATGTGTGTGTGTGTGTTTGTGTGTGTGCATGTGTGTGTGTGCATGCGCACGTGAGTGCGTGAGTGTGTGTGTATGTGTGTGTGTGTGTGTGTATGTGTGTGTGTGTCCATTGTTCTTATCACCTGACGATGGCCAAGTGCCGAAACGTTGTAAAATAACGGAACTTGTTCGGATGTGCAGTGCTATGGGAATGGTGTGTCCAATCAAATTCCTTTCCATGTATCATCTGTGTTGTGCAATTCCATTTTTATTTGTTTCTTGACATGTAGTTGTGTGTAGTTGTGTGTTCATGTGTCATCTGTGCCTTCTGTATTTTGCTGCTTTCGCAACAGACAATCCGTTTGACCTGACAAGGTTTGTGTGTGACATTCAACCATGGTTGAACAAAGTTGACGCAGATCGACTGCGACAGATGGTGATCAAGAAACATCTCATAACTGACAGCGCATCAATAGAGAGACTAAAGAGAATTCAGTCCCGGGATGGACTATCTGATCATAATGAGGCGCTCATCCAGTTGCTCAGAGCTGGTGGCCTAAAGACTTATCGTGATCTCTGTGTTGTCATTGAGGAACTTGGTTATGCCGACAAGAGCAAGGAAATGCTCTCCATTTTGTCCCACCCAGGTATGTTGTTGCTATACGTTTACTGCAATGTGTTCAACTTTGATGGTGCGTAATGAACAGCCGAGAGTTTTCTTTTCGACGTACATATGTTAGTTTTTGGAAATAACCCAGGAATGACTGAGTTCCGATCGATTGAAATTTTGAAAAGTTTGTAGTTGTACAGTCCGTAAATTGGGCCCCGCGTGAGATCTCTTTGGCCTGACTTTGACCCCGCTTCTATCTTATCCCGTGGCCAGTACTCCCTTGTCGATGCTGTTTTAGGTAGCTGAGGTCATTGCCTTTCCATTGATGCCACACATGCCATGCCTGAACAAAAAAGGTGGAGCCGCGGTTTGCACAGAGGCATAGAGAAGTACTGATCTCGACCAGAGGCAAACACGGCCTCGGCAGGTACACCCAATTTTCGTGTTCAGCAGCCTCGAATTAGTCTAAAACAAGAGGATTCTAGAACATTTAGCCTCGCACTTTATCGCAGTAGAAGGAACATTATCACAGAAGCCAGCCCACAGCGATTTCCCGGTGGTGGACGTAAAAATCGAGTGAATCGAGCGCACACTATAGAAGCTGTGACCGTGAAAGCATGTGAGTTGTGGAAGCAGGCAAACCCGGCATGCCGTGCAGCACATGCATGCACACGGCATACATGTGCACAACCTGCATTGTCATGCACTTCATGCAATTAAGCACTTCAGTTCGCACGCGCATCTATGCACCAAATAGTGCAGTGCTGGACGGAAACCACCCCGTCCCCTTCCATACTTGAATTGCTTTCTGTGACTGCTCAGGCTTTCATTTTCCAAACTTCAATTGCTTCGAAATCGCAAACATTGTTTTAGTAGAAGTCAGTTTTTCCTCATTGCTATGCCGCAGCTATAGTGCAGTATTCCAGAGAATGCCACTTTCCAGACAAAATGTTCAACTGAGACTTAGTACAGTAGTTGTTGGCGAGCGAAGATTCCAAGGTACTTTGGCGGCAGTCATAAATTTGAACATTTCCATGGAAATACTAAGCCCAAGGCTACCAGCCATCATTCAATGACCTCCAAAAGATCTCACTAGGTCAAGATGGTCATCAACACCACTGTGGAAAATCCACTATCAGTGGAACATGACTTTGTTATTAATTGTAGAGTTTTACAACAACCACTAGAGAGGTTTTGCTGAGCAAAAGTTCGCGTAAATTTTCGATTGACGTCGCGAGAAGCAACTTCGCACGAACGTTCGCAGCTGTGAACGCGAAAGTTGAAGGAAATACGAAACAATTTTCGCAGTAATTTTCGCTGATCACGGACCAGTGACTATTGGTGAACCACGCTCATGCAATGTTTGGTGCTTCATCTTTCACAATCCAGTAGATATACTCTTGGCTTGGTCCTCCAGTGCTAGCTTTCCCATATGGCAGCCCGTGTTGCTTAATCTCCGGAACCATGTCCGATTTCCTACCCTGGTCGTCTTTTCAGAGTCGATTATATCAATGATCCCTGTTTTCTTGATTTTCAGGTGTTGATGCGCCGGATTACAGCACAGGCAAACCCGTTTGTCTGCCGGTCATGGACAACGTAGTCAAAGAGTTCTCGTCGCAGGGTGCTGCCACTTGCAAAAATAAATAATCGGATGAAGACGACTTCTCAAACAAGCGCGAGTACACGCGTGTTTTCCTGGAACGAAAATCATGCAAAATACAAATTTCGCGCAAACGTTCGCAGAAATATTTGCAAGCCCAGACGCGGTAATCCATGCAAAGTTTTGCTCAGCAAAGCGTCTCTACTAGTACGAGATAAGCCCGGGATTCTTGTTTGAAATCGGGGCGTTATTCTCAAACGTAAACGTATCCCTCTGTTATTCTTGCAACGTAAACGTATCCCTCTGTCATTGCTCAGTGCACAGAACACTACCAGTACTAAGAAATTTTGATTTTATGATCTTTCCATAGGTATTTTAGGGAAACATGTTGGTGATCTACCCCCCCCCCCCCCCCCTCCCACGACCTGTGGTGCTGGCACGTGTCAACCATGTGGAACATTCGGGGCTGGGAAAATGGAAGTAAGTATTAGTTTGGAAGACCGCGTGGCATGAAGAAGTGCCTAGAACTGGACAGAAGCCGGCCAGCCACTGCTGTACCAGCACGATGGTCCGCGTCCGCACACAATGAAACTCAATGCACGTGCGTTTGCAGCGCAAGGGAAAGCGAAGGGACCCGACATTCAGATTGTTGTTCAGGCGGGACAAAACCCCGATGTCAACGCGGACGACTTGGCATTCTTCTACAGCCTGGAGACAGACGTGTCACTGATGGCGAAGGAAACCAGAAAGGAGCTCAGAAGTTCTGCAGGCTTTGGAAACATGCTGGCAGCAGAACCCCGCTGCCAAAATGAAAAGCATTAAATGTTTGCTTGTTTTGCCATGGCACATTCCATCGCATTCTGGAGAGCGGCGGAGAGAAAAACTGTCGACAGCGGCACCGTGCAAATCGTCAAGTTCACAGTTCAAGCAAAGAAGTACGATCAAATATTTTCTCGGCATATTTTAATGTTTACAGAGCGTGAGCTGTCAGTGTGTCAGCACTGAAGACGGGAGTCAGTGAGGAAGCACACTCAATGCAGGGAATGAGTTGTGATCGGATTCAGATGAAGAGAGAAGCTGGACCACTTCGAAACAAATTGTGTGACATCTATAAACTACTATCTCTCGTATGCGCATTGTTTTCCCCTCTGCGAAGTGTGTTGTAGCCATAAAATGCTTTTGACGGAACTGCAAAAACATGCAACAACATTTCGCTTAACAAAGGAAGTACATCATACATCCCTTTTGAAAGAGTTTCAAAACTTACAACAGGTTTATTCATACTTTCTGTTGCCTTTGTAGGTATCACCATGACAACAGTTGGCAAACAGAAAACACAGCCATTGCAGCACACAGTGGGAGCTTGTCAGGCAGACCAACAACGGACGTCCAACAGATGTGAACCAATCTTCAAACAACCAACATCAGCTGAAACAACAGCCAGTGTAACTAGAACGGGTACAACATCCAATACAACATTGACTACAACACAGGATTCAACAAGATCAGCAACTTCAAGCCAGTCATCTCTACCGGACAAAGACCGACACTTCACTGGCAGGAATGACATTGTTAAAGAGATCAGTCACAACATTATCACAACAAAGTCCAAGTCATCATCTACACGTGTGCAGAGTCTTGTGGCACCAGCTGGTTTTGGTAAGACGTCCGTAGCCATTGCTGTTGGACATGTATGTCGCAATGCTGGTTGTCGTGTGGAGTTCTTTGACTTACGCGGTGTAGCTGGTGTTGATGCTGTCCAGGCAATGATTCAGAACCGACTCGAAACAAACCCAGCTTCATCTGAAACTACTGGCAAGACAACAAAATCAACTGATGCCATGGATGATGATGGTGGCAAACACCACATGCTAGTTATTCTGGACAATGCCGAGGATGCTATCCAGGCCAATGCGGATAAGGATTTCCAACTACAAGATGTCATACAACGACTACTACGCCAACAACACAGCGTACATGTCCTACTGACAAGTCGTGTTTACTTTGACCTACACGCTGCCCAGTTTAAACTACAACAACACCGTCTTGATGGTCTGACAAAGGTTTGTGCTGTTGGTCTTCTCCATGGTCTATGTGGTGAAGGTAGTGTGAGCATTGAAGATGCACAGAGGTTATTGGATCATTGTGGAAATGTTCCACTTGCTGTACGCATTACAGCTGGTCTTCTACAAGGTGGCCGATTAACTCCCACCATGTTGCTGTCATTGTTCAAGAAGCTTGGTCTTGATGTCTTCAACGATGATCGTCTTAAACCGAATCATCGGATTCTGCAGCTGTTGAAAGTAGCATACAACACATTACAACAGGATGACAAGGAGTCATTCCATGCACTTGCTCAACTACGCTCCTCGTTCTCATCTGAATGTGCTTGTGTGATGGTGGGTTTGCCTGCAACTGATGCCAATGTGGTTCATCTTGTACGTTTTGATCCTCTGATCAAGATTTGTTTCCTGGATTACAATTCGTATTTGAAACGCTACTCTTTGCAACCATTCGTCGCCGAGTTTGGTCGTTACCAATGCCCTGAAGACAAGCAACGCATGTACCAACGGCGAATGTGCAAGCATTTCCTTGGCTTTGTGAAGGAAGTTGATGACCGTAGAGGTTGTGGTGCAGACAAAGCAATGTATTGGAGTTACCAACTTCTTCAGGAAAGCGTGAACATACAGAGTGCTTTGTCAGTTGTTGATGTTTTGTCTGGTGATGACTTGCTTCCTTTCTCTGGATTAACAAAGTCGTCGGGTATCCTATTGGCCTTGTTTCGGAGAGCAGTACTTGTTGGAGAGTTTGGGGACAGGTTTCAAAGATTGGCCAAAGCATCGCTATCTGTACAAGCTGACAGCATTTGCAACTCGGTCCTGTGTTATATTATACGTCCAAGCATTGCAGATTCTGATTTCACTTTTGAGAGTTTGGATTCCAGAACCCAAATGCTCCTGGAGAAATCTGAACAAGAACCGACAGGAGTGGAGTCGCAGTTGCAGCTTATTTTCATGCAACTTTTTCTGGAGTCATGCAGGGTATTCATGTCTCTGGACATCGACTGCAAGGAAGGACAGGTTGAGCCCAGCCAGGAAACAATATCCCGTCTGCAGGTGGTGTACCAGCGTGTTACAACAACACTGGGAATGGGTCTTGCAACAGGTGTCACTGAATGTGCCCTGAAACTCATTCAACTGTATTGTTCCACTCTGCTAAACAAGGATATTCCCAATGTACAGGTGGTAGAAGACCTTGCTGAGAGAGTGATGTCATCACGCTTCCTATCACAGGATGGTGCAGTCAGGTCATGCGCCGTAATGTACGGTTTTCTGCTACAATGCATATTTGTGATCCTGGGCAAGGTCATGTCAAGTTCCTGCAGCAGTGAGTGGATTATTTCACCATCATTGCTTACAACACTGGGTATACCACTGTGCAAGTGGAAACATGTACCAACTGCTTTCAGGCGCTCGGTCAAAACCCATGACGACTTTACCACTGTGTCTACTTTTCGGTTACAACGGTACCTGTACTCCATGGATAATGACACAGTGTCCACACTACTGGGCATGCTCTGGAGTGAAGTGTACAGCTACCGATACAGCTCCTTAGTAGCTATTGGAAGGTCACACACAACTCCAAAGGGTCTCACTCTACCAGCACAGCATCCCTACAACATTGTGATGGACTATGTCAGGAGATGGTGTAATGGCTCGGATCCAGCAGATCACACAACATCACTGATTAACAACTGTAGCCAGAACAAGATACCTGATCTTGAAGTGATGCAGTCTTGTATTTTTACGGCTAGAGCACTGCTTACTTTCGAGGTAAGCTGGTATTGCAGTGTACACAGTTCAAGTTACCATAACTGTTTTTTTCATCCACATTCCACTCTGAATGGAACATTGTATTGCAAACCAGTATACTCAGTAATTATCTACTGTATAGTGTCTGTCTCTCTAAGGTTGATTTCTTGAAGAACACAGAGGGGAATGTGATAATTTTGAACATTGTAACTATGGAAAGGGAATGTGTTGCTTTCTGCTATATCAGTCCAGTTTGTAATTCTTGAACATGTGCTTGTTTTGCTTGTCCGTTACGTTCTTTCCTACACTGTTCTTTGTTGTGTGCTTTGTTGTAGAATACTGCCTTAGCACCTGACGACATTTCCGAACTCTTCCCAGCATTGAAGTCAGTGGTTAAGGATCTCAGTGCTTACCTGCCAAGCAATTGTGCAACTGGTCTCTCAGTGTCTGGAATTGTGTACCTACCACCCTTAACTGGGCCCCTTGACAGGCTTTACGTCCCTCTCCTTGCTGCCCTACATCATCAATCCAAGAGAGGCCGTGTGAGCATTGATCACCACATTGCACTACTGGAATGGTGTCCACGTGTTGCAGCATGTTTTGTCTGCTATGACCTGGACAACATCACGGCATGTCCTCGTTGTGGCATGGCTTACCTGTGTGGCAAACATCGTCTAACTGGTGAACACCTAAGTGAACACAACCAACACTGTGATATGCTGGAAGCACTCAGATATCGCATACCACGGTAAGAGTGTTAGCATCATACGAGAGTGTGTGCACATGTGCTGTGTGTGTTGTGTGTGCTGTGTGTGCACTGTGTGCTGTGTGTGCACTGTGTGCTGTGTGTGCACTGTGTGCTGTGTGTGCACTGTGTGCTGTGTGTGCACTGTGTGCTGTGCTCGTATGTCAGTACTTATGTCGTACACGAGAGTCACCGCTGTGTCTGTGACAGGGGTGGACTGACAGGGTGGTACTTACATCAGATCATTGATTTTGGCAATGTTACAGAAAGGGTATGTTCTAACGGGTACTCTGTGTGTGTGTGTGTGTGTGTGTGTGTGTGTGTGTGTGTGTGTGTGTGTGTGTGTGTGTCTCTTTCTCTCTCTCTCTCTCTCTCTCTCTCTCTCTCTCTATCTATCTATCTATCTCTCTCTCTCTCTCTCTGTATTCATTGCGCGAAATCGTACAACACCTGTGCATTTAAAAAATCTGCGCGCTGAAGATGGCGACGCCAATGCATTTGGTATTATGCAGCCCTCATGCTACCTCATGCTAGGGGTGAGGGGATAAGTCTCACAATCACACCCCATTAGCCGCAGTGATGGTACGTGATGATAGACCGGTTCCAAAGAAGCAAGAGACAATAGCTGAGCCACATCATCACATCCGATTGTCAGCGATTCACACTGCCCAACGGAGGCAGACGCACAAATCTCCCGCCGTGGGCCGATGACACAAGCGGTCACCGAGGCAAACAGTCAGCCCACCGTGAGGACTAAATAATCCTATCCACCGTGGACCGCTAGTATACTGCCCACAAAGGGTGCACAAATGGCCGACGCGGCCAGCAACCTGCCCGCCGACGGTGCATGAACGGCCGCCGAGGCTAACAACTTACCCATTGAGGGTTAAAGTATACAGCCCAACCGATGGTCAACGAGAAGGCTAAAGCATACAGCCCAATCAAGGGCGCGCGAGTAAGAATACAGCCCCGCCAAAGGTGCACAAAAGCATACAGCTCAACAGTGGGTGCACGAGCGGCCGTCGAAGCCAATAACCGGCCCACCGAGGGTTAAAACAACAATTTTCGTGTTCAGCAGCCTCGAATTAGTCTATAGAACAAGAGCATTTTAGAACATTTCACCTCGCACTTTATCGCAGTAGAAGGGAAATGATCACAGAAACCAGCCCACAACGATTTCCCGGTGGTAGACGTAAAAATGGAGTGAACCGTGCGCGTGCGCGCGCTCACACTGTAGAAGCTGTGGCGGTGAAAGCATATGAGTTGTGCAAGCAGGCACACCTGGCATGCATGTCGTGCAACTCATGCATGCACACGGCATGCATGTGTACATACTATATCGCCATGCAGCTGACACGCGCATGTATGCACCAAATAGTGCAGTAGTAAAAAAGTAAAGTTTGCACATCCGCGTTACCACCGGCTATACAATTGCGTTGAGAAACACAACCAGCTTAGGAAGTTTCGCATGTGCCAGGCCACCACCATGCCTGTGCTACCAAGGTGGCAGATGCAGCGCCTAACGGCGAGGGTGAGGTGGTAAGTCTCACAACCAATGCCCGACAAGGGGGCTAACCTCGTTAGCTGCATCCATGTTACCCTCACTCCGAGTAGTGAGTACGAGGTGATTCGTCATTATTTAACACGAAAGTAAAAAAGCCTTCCGTAGGGTTCGAGGTGCGAATCTTTCCATTTCTTCCCCTAAAAATGTAATACTAATATCCTTATATTGCAATGGTGGGTTGTTCATTCACATAATCCTCGGTGTTGGGAAGCAGGGGGCAGTTGAAAAATGGCAATTTTTCTGCATATTATTTGTTGTGGTCATTTCTTAACATCATGGTAAAATAGGCCTTAGCACCACAATTTCAAGTCAGTTTTCAATAGAAAGAGACCCTATGCGTCCAGGATGGTCCAGAAAGACTGGATCAAGAATATGTGAGCCCCGGCCAGCGAAAACCAGCACTTGTGTACTTGATATCAATCATCAAAATGTGACGTCAAAGTTTGGGACGCGCAGTGAGCTGGCTTTTGAAGATTCTTTTTCGATCGAGTGGGTGTCTTTGTTGTCAAAGGAGTTTCAAGTGTCTTCAAATGTCTCTGGTCAATTGATTTTAGCGCTAGGTGAGAGCTTGTCACACGGAGGTTGAGTTTAGACACAGCGATGGCGACAGGTGTCGCGACAAAGACTTAGGTCCAGAGTTGTCAGCGTGAGACTCCCCGTACGAAGCGGCGCTGAAAGTTAGTTCGCGATTGGAATTATTTCTTTGGTGGCGATCTCGCTGAGTTTGTCCAGCAGTGGCGAGTCTCATATGCATAGCAACGAATAGCCCTCATAAAATCGACACTGGATACTGGTGGCTACGATAGTCAGTGCTGGAATAATAGCGACTGCGAGGAGAAGCTGATTGTCGACCCGCTGAGCGATCCGTATTTCTACATCGACAACAATGATGTTGCAGACACTGATGGAGGGCTTCTCACGGCGCAAAACAGAGCATAGTATTATCAGTACTCTACCTTGCCAGACGACGCCAAGCTGGCTGCTGCCTGTGCTGAGAAAGGGGATCCCTAAAAACTCAAACCGGCTGAACGCTTTGGGGCACGTGCTACAAAACGCGAGTATTCGCTCATATCATTGAAATACAATTATGCGGAAATCATGGTCTGAGTGAAAGTGTGCAAGGGAGTGGATGTCAGTGGTATTGGTCAGTACATCTATCAGTATGGCAAGCTTTGGGACAACGCTCAAACTGCCTGCACAGAGGTCCCTGAACACAATTTGGAAGGCCAGCCACCAATCATCGTTTTGCACTCTGGTGTTGTAAAGAAGGTAGTGATGTATACGGAATATCGTCACACTTCTGAACTACTCATGCCTGCAGCACCAAGAGGGCAAGCCTGACTTGCATTCTATTTACTTACATGTACCTATTCCACATCACAATCAGAAACTGTAGGATCAACTTGCATGGAGTCACTAGGCATGGATGCTGCGCCAACTGTACGGAATCTTGACCTGTGTGACTTCAAACTCTATTTTCCATGCTTTCCCTTATCAGATTGTCACCAAACTTGATAACTTGAATGATTAATAGTGTAGAAACAATTTCGAGGGAAAAAATAATTTTAGAAAAAATTTCACATGTTCAGATTTCTGCTGGCTGGGGCTCATGTTCATCCAAATTCAAGCAATTCAAGCTTGCATAGCAATAGATGTATCACCCTGATTTCATATGCAATTGTGATCAACATCTGTGAGTAAATTCAGTAATTGCCAATGTTTGGCCAATTCCAGGGCCAACACACCGACATTTCTCCTTCCCAGGCGTCGTTTCCAGTATGTAGCTATCATATGCTTCCTCTTCAGCTAAATGTGTTGTCAATGGAGGTTGAAACCAGCGGCTATGACTCTCTTATACTCTATATTACCGTAAACATCGCGCACATGCAGACTGAAAGCTCTTGCAATGTCACTTCCTGAAGGAATATCAGTCTCAATTTTGGAGGCGAACTTGACAGAACATTGGCAATGGCAATGGCAAAAAGAAATTTGACATGACTTTTTGCATGCGCTGGCAATGAGATATTTTACCGATTTGTTAAGAAATGACTCAATGTTAAAAAATTACGAATCACCTCGTACCCAGTTGACCGTGGGTGTCGGCGCAGTTCACTGCATGTAAAGTGGTTCACGCATGCATCACCGCATTTGCTAGCACAGTACACGCTCCCTGCTCCCAGCGCTGGTCTCGAACTCCGGACCTTGTGATTCGCAGGCAAGCCCACAACTACTCGGCCAAAGCGCTGGTGAAAAGTGCAGTGCTGGATGTAAACCACAAATTCCCCATCCATACTTGGATTGCTTTCTGTGACTGCTCGGGTCATCATTTTCCAAACTTCAATCGTCCATAACTTTGAATTGCCTTGGAATTTCTGTTTCAAACTTTCGCAGGTTCAACTGCGGGAACCACATGTGCAGAAGGCCATGCACTGATGCTGGGCGGTGTCCGGAAGGAATACCGGGCAGGTGTCTTTTAGCTATCACCAAACCATTGGCGGATATGCCTCATGATGGCAATTGCGACATGTCTTGTCACGGAGAACACAAATGTGATGTAATCTGCACTCGTTGTCGCAAGAACGAATGCGATAAGCCGTTTGGTCACGAAGGAAATGAGCACGTCTGTGGAGAGAAGCGTTGCCGTCACACATGTGTTGTCAAGCAATGTGTTAATTGTGGAGCAATCAAAACAAAGCAGGACTCACCACCAATGTGCCGAGAGAAGTCTGGACAACATTGTACAATGCGACAATGTCACAAGGACTGCGCAAGCACTGACCACCTTCACAAACCAAGTGATGGTGAATATCACTACTGTGGGAAGCATGCCTGTAACAAGAGATGCTCTCTCAATGGTCAATGCCCTAATGCATGTAAAGGTGAGAAGGGATTTTGTACGGAGATTATCAAAGAACCCTGGACAAATGAAGAGCATAGTTGTGTTCTCACCTGCTTTGGAAAGCAAGAAGAGCACAAGTGCACAATGCCATGTCCAGGGTGCTCAGAATCTCATCACAAAAAGCCATGCAAAGAGTCTCCTGCTGATGTCACACATGCACATAACTGTGTGCAGCCAGGCTGTGTTCGAACATGCAGAGTGCGTGAATGTCGGAATTGCCAGGCAATCATAATTCAAAGCCCGCAATCATGTGATCGAGGGGGACACTGTAAGGAGAAATTCTGTCAATCACGGTGTGCGCAACCAAGCCACCTCCATGAACACTCCGACTTGGCACCCCACAACTGCGGAGTTCACAAGTGCAACAGGAAGTGCGACACACAAGGTGATTGTCCACCGTACAACGGCGAGAGAGAAGTCTGCAGGTCTACTGTTACGAAGCTTTCTACCACCTCATTCCACGAATCAGCCTGCCTGTTTACATGTCATGGGAAGGAACATAAAGTTAAATGTCTTCAACGGTGTGAGCACACAAGAGGTTGGGGTATTTGGCAGTGTAGCCGACAGTGCAAACTTCCTTTTCCCCATACGGCACACCATCGATGTAAGGTCCATCAAGCGAAGGCAGATGGTTCAGTGCCTTAGGATGAAAGTGCTGAGCATGATTCAGTACGATCAAATATTTTCTCGGCATCTTTTAAAGGTTACGGAGCAAGAGCTGTCAGTGTGTCAGCGCTGAACAAGAACCGACAGGAGTGGGGTCACCGCTGCAGCTACATTTGATGCAACTTTCTCTGGAGTCATGCAGGCTATCCATGTCTCTGGACATCAACTGCAGGGAAGGACAGGTTGAGCCCAGGCAGGAAACACTATCCCGTCTGCAGGTGGTATACCAGCGTGTTACAACAACACTGGGAATGGGTCTTGCAACAGGTGTCACTGAATATGCCCTGAAACTCATTCAACTGTATTGTTCCACTCTGCTAAACAAGGATATGCCCAATGTACAGGTGGTAGAAGACCTTGCTGAGAGCGTGATGTCATCACGCTTCCTATCACAGGATGGTGCAGTCCCTTCATGTACTGGAATGTACGGTTTTCTGCAACAGTGCATTGCTGTGATCCTGGGCAAGGTTATGTCAGGTTCCTGCAGCAGTGAGTGGATTATTTCACCATCATTGATTACACCACTGGGTATACCGCTGTGCAAGTGGAAACATGTACCAACTGCTATCAGCCGCACGTTCAATACCCATGACGACCACACTACCTTGTCTGCTTTTCAGTTACAACAGTACCTGTACTCCATGGATAATGACACAGTAACCAGACAACTGGACATGTACTTCTATGGCATGTACAACATCCAGTACATATCCTTGGTAGTAAATGGAAGGGCATGCACAACTCCAACGGGTCTCACTCTACCAGCACAGCATCCCTACAACATTGTGATGGACTATGTCAGGAGATGGTGTCATGGCTCAAACCCAGCAGATCACACAACAGCACTGATTAACAACTGTAGCCAGAACAAGATACCTGATCTTGAAGTGATGCAGTCTTGTATTCTGACGGCTAGAGCACTGCTCAGGATTGAGGTAAGCTGGTAGTACAGTGTTCACAATTCAGGTTACCATAACTGTTTTTCATCCACATTCCACTCTGAATGGAACATTGTATTGCAAACCAGTATACTCAGTAATTATCTACTGTATAGTGTCTGTCTCTCTAAGGTTGATTTCTTGAAGAACACAGAGGGGAATGTGATAATTTTGAACATTGTAAACTATGGAAATGGAATGTGTTGCTTTCCGCTATATCAGTCTGATTTGCTATTATTGTGCATGATGTTCTCTGTTTCAAGTGTACTGGCTTCAGTTACTTTCTTTTCTACACTTTTCTTTGTTGTGTGCTTTGCCCTGGAATACGATCTTTGCACTTGCAGAAATGTCTAAACTCTTCCCAGCGTTGAAGTCATTGGTTAATGATCTCAGTGCTTGCCTGCCAAGCAAGTGTGCAACTGGTCTGTCAGTGTCTGGAATTGTGTACTTACCACCACAAGCTGGAGACGATACTCTACTATACTACTCTCTCATTGCTGCCCTGCATCGTCAATCCAAGAGAGGCCGTGTGAGCATTGATCACCACATTGCACTACTGGAATGGTGTCCACGTGTAGCAGCATGTTTTGTCTGCTATGACCTGGACAACATCGCAGCATGTCCTCGTTGTGGCATGGCTTACCTGTGTGGCAAACATCGTCAAACTGATGAGCACCTAAGTGAACACAACCAACACTGTGCTATGCTGGCAGGACTCAGACATCGCACACTGCAGTAAGTTAGAGTGATGGCATCATGCAAGAGTGTGTGCACGTGTGCCGTGTGCCGTGTGCTGTACTCGTATGTCAGTAATTTACCAGCACAACAGAACCACCACTGTGTGCTGTACTCGTATGTCAGTAATTTACCAGTACAACAGAACCACTGCTGTGTGCTGTACTCGTATGTCAGTAATTTAACAGTACAACAGAACCACTGCTGTGTGCTGTACTCGTATGTCAGTAATTTACCAGTACAACAGAACCACTGCTGTGTGCTGTACTCGTATGTCAGTAATTTACCAGTACAACAGAACCACTGCTGTGTGCTGTACTCGTATGTCAGTAATTTAACAGTACAACAGAACCACTGCTGTGTACTGTACTCGTATGTCAGTAATTTAACAGTACAACAGAACCACCGCTGTGTGCTGTACTCGTATGTCAGTAATTTACCAGTACACCAGAACCACTGCTGTGTGCTGTGACAGGGGTGAACTTACAGGGTGGTACTTGTACTAGGTCTTTGATTTTGGAAATGTTAAATAAATTTTATATTCCAACAGTCTCTGTCTCTTTATCTCTCTGTTTTTGTATCTGTCTCTGTCCCTGTCTCTTTCTTTTTCACTCTCTGTCTGTCTGTCTGTCTGTCTCTCTCTCTCTCTCTCTCTCTATCTTTTTCTCTCTCTCTCTCTCTCTCTCTCTCTCTCTCTCTCTCTCTCTCTCTCTCTCTCTCTCTCTCTCTCTCTCTCGCTCTCTTTCTCACTATCTCTCTCTCTTCCTCTCTCTCTCTCTCTATCTATCTCTCTGTCTCTCTCTCTCTCTCTCTCTCTCTCTCTCTCTCTCTCTCTCTCTCTCTTCAGCCCATCTGTAGGTCAGACAATGACTCCTGGAGATGAATTGCGAACAATCCCGCACGAATCCACTCCCTGTCATAATGAGTCTTTACTTCATGTCCTGAATCAACGGGACATGGACAAGGTAGAAGTCCGGCAGTCCCTACTGCTACCGTCAGCCAAAAACACCAAGGCATGGCACACAATAAACGCTCAGTTGAAGATCCATCTCACTCAACATTTCCCAACCTCATACCTCAAAAACACTAACATCGAAGAGACTCTGGACAAACTAGAGAACTTCATTCACTGGTTTTTCGACCAGAAACCACCACCACCTCCACCAAAACACAAGAATGCAAATAAAAACCGTGCAGTGGAAAAACTCCGGGCTCACAGGCGTGATTTAAAGCGCCAATTTCGTAAGATCAAAAACCCGGACGAAGTACCTGCAGCGCTCAGAAATGAGTATTTTTCAATTGGAAAACAAATCAAGCGTCTTTTGAAACAACAAAAGATGTACGACGATCGATCCCGGAACAAGAGGGACCAGGATGCCTTTCTCAAGGACCCATATGCCTTCGGAAAGAAATTGTTTCAACCAACCAACCATGTCAAACCCACTTTCTCTGACACTACCTGCTTTGAGTACTTCCAACACACATATGCAGACCAGGATCGTGCCACTTCGTACGAATCCTGCCCCAGTGCAGGGAAGCCCCGGGATTGCACCCACCCAGTCGATGAGGGGACCCCTACATGGACTGAATTTCAGAATGTTTTGAAGAAGTGTCGCAACACCTCTGCACCGGGTCCTGACAAGATACCTTACATAGTTTGGAAGCTTTGTCCCTCCCTTCAATCCATTCTTTTCACCATCTTTGGGCGGGTTTGGGAGAGCAAGATCATTCCAAGGCAGTGGCAGGTAGCGTGTATCACACTCCTGGCCAAGGGGGAGGTGTCTGATGATCCTTCGAAATTCCGACCGATTGCTCTAGCGAACACGTCCGGGAAGATCTTTTTCACCTTAGTTGCAAAGCGCCTCTTGAAACATATGCTAGGCAATAAGTTCTTCGATGGTGACAACCAGAAAGGATTTATGCCTGCAAAGGCTGGGTGCTTAGAGCATACATCACTTTGTTATGAGGCGATGCGTGATGCAAAGACGGCAAAACGCCAAATTTGCATTGCGTGGATAGATTTGAAGAATGCATTTGGTTCAGTGCGCCACAATCTGATACAGTATGCTCTAACCCACTACAGCCTTCCTTTGCAATTCAGGAAATTAATTTTTTCCTACTACGACAGTCTTTGCGCTTTCGTCGTACAACCACACACACCCACCTTTAATTACAACATTGGTGTTTTCCAGGGGTGCCCCTTGTCCCCGGTCCTTTTCAATATTTGTTTCCAGCTTCTGCTGGACTCACTTGCAGCCCCTGAATTAAGTTGCCTCTCCTATGATTTTAAATCTGCCCCTTTGCAAGTGTCCCAAACAGCTTTTGCTGATGACTTAGGCCTCTATAGCAAATCTAGTGCAGGTTGTCAAAAACTCATTGCGGTCACGGAGGACTTTCTCTCGTGGACCCAATGTATGCAGGCGGCGCCGCACAAATGCAAAAGCAGTGCAGCAAAGCTTGTAGATGGCCGGTACAAACCTTACGATCCCTGCCTGACAATGTCAGGGAGGAAGATCGCTTTCATTGACACTGCAGAGTTCAAGTTCCTGGGGCGAAGGCTGCATGCTGATTGCTCTGAGCAGACCCAGCGGGAAGACATCCGTCAACTCACTGTATCTCTCATGCAAAAAGTAGATGGCTCTTGGCTTCAAGACCACCACAAGCTATGGCTTTACCACCATCTTGTAGTGCCCAAGCTTTCTTGGTCTTTCCAGGTTCTTGAACTCACACAAGGTTTTGTACGTGAACTGCACTTTATGTGTTTACCATTTCTGAAGAAATGGTCAGGCCTACCTCGATGCGCAAACTCTGCCATTCTTTTTATTGGCAGTCGCAAACGCTTTGGCTTACGCCTCCACTACCTTCCTACGGTGTGGAAAAAGTGCCAGTCCATCAAATGGCACATTCTTCGATCGAGTGGGGACGCGCGCATGAGGGCGCTGTACACTCTGCGTCGGAGTAAGGATGCGAAGCTGACAAAGCGATATGCGGCGACAATAGAGCTGGAGTGTGCAGAGGCATCAGTAGGTTCAGGGACTCTCCGTCCACCGTCATCTTCAAGTCATCGTGCAGGGTTGGGTGCTCCTGCTCCGAAGCAGCATTCCAAACCCCCGAGGAAGGATCTCCTTCAAACATTTGAGGAGATCAACGCGCAGGAGCAGATTTTGAGGCTGAAGACTCTTCAGGTGCAAGGCAAGTGGTTGGAGTGGACATCGGTGATGTGGCAGGACCTCTCGTGGAAATCCCTTTTGTACGGTGGTACTGGTAAGGATTTGAAATTTCTTCTCGCATCAACCCTCGACGTGCTACCTTCTCCGACGAACCTACGCCGTTGGGGAAACACCGTAGTGGATCCGTACTGTAGTTTGTGCCGTACCTGGGCCTGTACTACGCGCCACGTGCTTGGCGCTTGTCGCGTAGCGCTGGACCAGGGACGTTACACCTGGAGGCACGACAACGTACTCGGGGTCATCGTCAGGAACATGCGTGAGGAGATTCGAATCCGCACTGCTGCAAACACCGTACAAACCGAAAATTCAAATGAGCTTGACTTCATCTCGTTTTGCAAGGCGGGAGAGAAGCCAGTTCGCGTTCAGCCCAGACGAAAGTTGGTTACGACTGATCTCCTGTCAGCGGCCTCAGACTGGAAACTTCTTGTCGACTCAGTTAGTGCAAAGATTTCTTTCCCTAGCTGTGTTGCACTTACCACCCTAAGACCAGATATGGTTCTGTACTCTACGAGTCGTAGGATTGTATTCTGGATGGAGTTGACAGTTTGTGCTGAGGACAGATTCAGTGTCAGTAACTCGCGGAAGGACAGGCGGTATGCGGATCTGGCCGATCAATGCCGAGCAAACGGGTGGCAGGTCGTTTCTTTTTCGGTTGAGGTAGGTGTGCGTGGTTTCATCCCGGACTCTCTTCGGAGGGCTCTGAAAGCGCTTGGATTTTCTAATCGAAGAATAAAATTTATTTGTAATTTGTGCAGTAAGACGTCTCTGCGAAGCAGCTACATCATCTGGTTGCGGCGTCAACAAAAACACTGGTCGGAAGATCCACTTTTCTGAGGTACTGTATGTGGGGCTCCGTTTATTGAGGTGCGTTGAAATTTATTCTCTTTATCTTATTATTTCTTTTCTATAATTTCCCCATATGAGTTCCTATCAGTTGCTGTGAACACCTTGAGTGGAGAGCGCTTGCTCGAGCGTTGAACCGGGTTCTTAATCCACCATACCCAGTTCGCAAGGCTGGGCGGGGTTGTGAGCAGGCTTTCATTTCATCTTTTCTTATTATTTCTTATTATTTCTGCTTTTCATCTCATTACAAAAATTCTGCGCTTTTTCTCCATCTGCGCATAAAATCTAGACTGACAACCTGCTTGTTAAATCATGCACCTGCTTTCAGGCGTAAAAACCCTGTTGTAGAGGTCTCAGTCCTCATTTGTTAGACTTACCTGTCTTTATAAATGTAACTTACTCTCTCTCTCTCTCTCTCTCTCTCTCTCTCTCTCTCTCTCTCTCTCTCTCTCTCTCTCTCTCTCTCTCTCTCTCTCTCTCTCTCTCTCTCGCTCTCTCTCTCTCTCTCTCTCTATCTGTCTCTCTCTCTCTCTTTCTCTCTCTCTCTCTCTCTCTCTCTCTATCTATCTATCTATCTCTCTCTCTCTCTCTCTCTATTTCTCTCTCGCTCTCTCTTTTCTCTTTCTCAAACATAATTGCCAACGCTCCCATGCACCCGCCTGCACGTACGACGTACTCATGCACACATACACACATTCACAAACAATTGACACATTGGGTTGGGGGTTGCCTGACTTCTTTTAGAAAAAAGGATGTTAAAAGAATATGCTCAATGCTTTCAGTAATTTATATAATAGTATGTGATGATAAAGAAAGTAAATTATCGTTTCTGTTCCAAAAGTGAACTCACGACGGGCGCTAACACCCAGGATACCCTAGCGGCAGATGCAGCGCCTGGCATTGGGGGTGAGGGGATACGTCTCACAACTACTGGCACGAATGCCGAGGAACCCCGTTAGCCGCAGCTATGATATGTCATGATTGACCGGTTCCAAAGAAGCAAGAGACAATAGCTGTGCCAAATCATCACATCTGATCGTCAGCAACTCACACTGCCCACTGGGGGCAGGCGCACAAATGGCCGACCATGGGCCGATGACATGAGCGGCCACCGAGGCCAACAGCCAGCCCACTGAGGGCTAAATGATCCTGCCCACCGTGGGTCGCTAGCATACTGCCCGCCAATTGGCCGACGCGGCCAGAAACCTGCTCGCCGAGGGTGCATGAATGGCTGCCGAGGCTAACAACTTACCCATCGAGTGTTTTAAAAGCATACAGCCCAATCGAGGGCGCACGAATGGCCGCGGAGACCAGCAACCTGCCTACCGAAGCCTAACGCAAACAGCCCAACCGAGGGTGCACGAATGGCCGCCCACGCCAGAGACCTGCCTACCGAAGGCTGAAGCCTACAGCCCAACCAAGGGTGCACGAATAAGCACACAGCCCCTACGAGGGTGCACGAAAGGCCGTTGAGGCCAATAACCTGCCCCCCCCCCCCCCCCCCAGCCCAGGGTTAAAGCAAACTTCCGGCAAGGGGTAAATCGTAGTGCCCAACGAGGGCTAGAGCATACTGTCCACCGAGGGCTAGAGCATACTGCCCACCGTGGGTCACTGATGATCATATACTACCGACTGAGGGCTGAGTCGTACTGCCTATTGAGCCAGCAAACAGCCACCGAGGCTGAGAACCTACCTGCCAAGGGATAAAGCATACTGCCCAGTGGGGGCGAACGAACGACCAACAAGGCCAAGAGGCCAATTGAGTCATATTTCCACGATTCCTTTTCAATTTCTCTCTCCTCTCACGGGGAGACTGACATGACCATTTTAGGCATGTGTTAGTGCATGCGTTCTGTCAGGTGTGCGTGTGTTTGTTGTGGGAAGAGCCACATTGCTTGTACTCATTGCCACCTACCATTCAGTTTGTTGTAAGAACTGGAATGTCCTATTAATAGTATTGCCTCTCTGAAAGGACTCGACATGCTTTGAGAGTTGTCAATGTGTGTGTGTTTGTGTGTGTGTGTGCGTGCGTGCGTGCGTGTGTGCGCGCGTGCGTGTGTGCGTGTCTGCATGCATGCATGTGTACGTGTGTATGCACCCTCTCTGTTGTACATTCTCCAGGGCGAGGTGAGCTTCTGAGGATCTCTACTGGATAGTGTTTAGCAGTTGAGATTGGTGAACTTGACCAGCACTGGACAGGGATCATTTCCACCAGCTACTGCAGTAAGAGATACTCCAACAGCACACTACCTGTCATTGATCACAACACTGTGACATCACTTGTATAGACATGATGTATACAGATTGTCTATGACACACAGTGTTGTGTTACTATGTAGATATAATGATCAACTGAACTACATGTACTGTCTAGTCCAGTCTACTGTGGTATCAGTTTTACTGAATGTGTTCATGTCTACTCTAACCTACTGTTTTTACACTAGTCACTGTACAGAATAGTTACCGGTATGTCAGTTAAACCTGGAAAACTCTACTCTACAAATGTTTATACTGCAATGTATATTGCCATAGCAGTGTCAGCCATACCCTGTACATACAAGTTCATGCTACTATCTTTGAGATACACATCATATTTTACTCCAGTATTGAAATCTAGCAGCAATGCTAGCATTTGTTTGGCAAGCAAGAAATGCCCGTTGTCTGCTACCATGCCAAGTCATGAAGCATCGTGAATGTAGCCATAGTTCGACCCTAGCACACACACACTGCAGCTCCTTCCACGTTTCCAATTGTGGCCGGGTTTTCAGTAGACCACAGGACCTATCCTGCTTGAACATGGCAATGTGTCCCAGGTTCAATGTGTTTGTGTGTACGTGCGTTAGCACGTGCGCACGTGTTTGTGTGCGTGTGTTTGTGTATGTATGTATGTATGTATGTGTGTGTGCGTTTGTGTATGTATATGTGTGTGGGGGGGGGGAGTGCGCGTGGATGTGCATGCACGTGTTTGTGTGTGTGTGGGGGGGGGGGAGGGATGCACATGGATGTGCATGGATGCACGTGTGTGTGCGTGTGTGTGTGTGGGGGGGGGGGGGTGCGCATGGATGTGCATGGATGTGCATGCACGTGTGTGTGTGTGTGTGTGTGTGTGTGTGTGTGTGTGTGTGTGTGTGCGTGTGTGTTTGTTATTTGAGTATGAACATGCTCAAGGGGACACCATGCCAAACTAGAGTGTGCCCATTCATTACAAGCTCATGAACGGGATCCTACCTCTGCCAGTATTTGCATTACGTTGTCATCAGTAATATGCACTGCAGTGTTGTAATGATCAAATTCATCATGGTTAAGATCTACAATGTACTGTCGTGAACATTGAAATCAGATAGGATGATCGGGACCGGCACCCTTACTTCTGTTTGCATGTACACACACTATAGTTTATGTGCACACTGTAAAAATGGATCAGCAGTGCTCACGACTGCAAGGCCAGTGCCCAGTGGCCGCTTGACTTCTCAACGGATTTCAAAGTCCACGACAGTACATTGAAGTGTAGTTATTATGGAGGTGGTACACGTCACGGACCATGATTCTGTGGCGATACTGCACCCAGAGATCACTACTGGCCGTGCTCATGGGCAGGCACAAGAGTATGGTAACGCCCGCTGGGGTGGGGGTACCTGAGCCCTCTGAGGCTCTGGATTCGGATGAGCAGATCCTGAGTTTGGATTTGCCACGAGCGCAGTGCCACACAGTGTTCAAGGGGGGGGGGGGGGGGCAACAGCAAATAATATTGCAGTGCCGGTCTGGGACAGTACAGGCACGTGTTGACTGCATGTGATTTCTGGTTTCATATCCTAACACTTTGTATGAAGTCAGCATTCATGCAGTACTTCAAGTATAAAGCATCTTGAATAGTGACGTAAATAAGTACCGCTAGTCGGGTACAGAAAACAGAGTGACTTGGCAGCAAGTAGTAGTGATGTCATAGCAGTACAGCCGTTAAGAGTAGTGATGTCATAGCAGTACAGCCAGTAAGTAGTAGTGATGTCATAGCGGTACAGCCGTTAAGTAGTACTGATGTCATAGCCAATATTTTCCTTGTAATAAACTTAAAAATATTCACAATAAAGTCCCTCTCCATGCTTCCAGGATGGTGGAACGGATGGAACTTGAAATAGAAACAAACTGTGAACGGGCCTAGCTGAGAAAGAAAAAGAACTTCTTGGTGATGGCTCGGAAAAATGCACATTAGCTATGAGAGTCGACACTGATAAGTCTGGTGGATTGAACAGTGCGATGTCGTTAACAACCCATTATAGAACACAGATTGGGCCGAGCTAGGGCACTAATGAATGTAGCACAAAAAAGCATGGGCTGTGTGAATAATAATAATATCATAGGCCTACTTGAAGTAGTCACGGTAGGTAAGTGGAATTTGTCATGTGACCAGCATTGATGGTGGATATGCTAAAATACATATACATGTAGAGTAGTGATGATACTAGCATTCAAACTGGAGAATGGGACGGTCAAGGGTGGACTGTGAGGAGACTAGCATTGAAACTGGAGAATGGGACGGTCAAGGGTGGACTGTGAGGAGACTAGCAACAGCAGTGAGGATGCACACATGCACATGCACTGCCGACTTAACCTTTTTACTGGCATTTCTTCGGTTCGTCCGGAATCAGAACGTTGGCTGTGGTGGTGCCAAGTAGCATGGAGTGGCGCTCGTACGACTTTGATTTACGGAAGCGACTGTCCGTGCCATACAGAAAATCAAAGATTCCTGCATAGCAGCAGCCAACATAAACAAAAAAATAATGTCAGTTTTTATAATTACACAGTAGGTATCGGTTATAGCGTGGGTGTTTGAAAACGACTTTCTATTTCTATAATATCCGATATTTATTACTCACGATATTGAAAATCAAGTGTGACATATCATGTGCATGTGCGCAGAGTCAGGAAGATCATCCTATAATGCAATGTAGTGCTACTGTGCATGCAGCCAGTCATAGTCCCATAGCCTCATAGGCTGACCATTGTGGCTATGCAACATGAGTTACATGACCACAACAGTTGAACCTGCAGCACTACGTAGTCTACGACCCAACGCTAGTCGGATCAGAACTGCATTGGACAGATGTTATTACTACAGGCGATATACTTTGTACTAATCTGGTGTGTTTTGCTACACAAAGTCCAATTTTAGGACCGATAATATTCGGCTGTCCGATAAAATTGCTTGTAAGAATAAATGTGCACTTGAAACCCATGTTATGATTATGAAAACATGAGAGTTCATTCTTGTGGGCAGTATATTCTTTTACACGACCACGCTATAACCGATACGCACTGTACGAGGTACACAAACTCACCAGCAGGCACATGGGGCTAGCATGGAGTCAGCAGTACATGGGGCTAGCATGGAGTCAGCAGTACATGGGGCTAGCATGGAGTCAGCAGTACATGGGGCTAGCATGGAGTCAGCAGTACATGGGGCTAGCATGAAGTCAGCAGTACATGGGGCTAGCATGGAGTCAGCAGTACATGGGGCTAGCATGGAGTCAGCAGTACATGGGACTAGCATGGAGTCAGCAGTACATGGGACTAGCATGGAGTCAGCAGTACATGGGGCTAGCATGGAGTCAGCAGTACATGGGGCTAGCATGGAGTCAGCAGTACATGGGGCTAGCATGGAGTCAGCAGTACATGGGGCTAACATGGAGTCAGCAGTATATGGGGCTAGCATGGAGTCAGCAGTACATGGGGCTAACATGGAGTCAGCAGTATATGGGGCTAGCATGGAGTCAGCAGTACATGGGGCTAACATGGAGTCAGCAGTACATGGGGCTAGCATGGGGTCAGCAGTACATGGGGCTAGCATGGAGTCAGCAGTACATGGGGCTAGCATGGAGTCAGCAGTACATGGGACTAGCATGGAGTCAGCAGTACATGGGGCTAGCATGGAGTCAGCAGTACATGGGGCTAGCATGGAGTCAGCAGTACATGGGGCTAACATGGAGTCAGCAGTACATGGGGCTAGCATGGGGTCAGCAGTACATGGGGCTAGCATGGAGTCAGCAGTACATGGGGCTAGCATGGAGTCAGCAGTGCATGGGGCTAGCATGGAGTCAGCAGTGAGACGGTGCTGGTAGGGCCTGCCATGCTCAACTGACCAGAGGTCTCGGCATCATCGAATGGCAGACTCACCAAACTGAGGGCATTGTAGTGCATTGGATCAGAATCAGACAATACCTATAGGAACATTCATGGTAAGAAGAGACAACAACCATGACACTGGTATGCAAGTGAACTGCTGGAAACAGGGAGTATTTCTTTTCTGTTGTTGGGAGGCAGGGACTGGGGAGTAATAGTCGTCACGAAAAAAATTCAGCCAATGCCATGGATACATGTACAGTGGCATGGTGCCTGTCACAATCGCATTCATGCATTTACAGTCATAAGAGGGTCTACCAGCATAGCACTGAACTAATACAGTCCACGGCTCTGCACTCTGCCTGCTCCAGTCGAGTCGAGCACAGCACATACTGTGCACTGCAGAGTGCAGTCCCGGCAGCAGAGCATGAGACATTCACTAGGCTATTGCTTGCACTAGCAGTGGCAGTGCATGCTACCCATGCACAGTACAGCTACTGGTAGCAGTGGCAGTGCATGCTACCCATGCACAGTACAGCTTCTGGTAGCAGTGGCAGTGCATGCTACCCATCCACAGTACAGCTACTGGTAGCAGTGGCAGTGCATGCTACCCATCCACAGTACAGCTACTGGTAGCAGTGGCAGTGCATGCTACCCATGCACAGTACAGCTACTGGTAGCAGTGGCAGTGCATGCTACCCATGCACAGTACAGCTACTGGTAGCAGTGGCAGTGTATGCTGCCCATGCACAGTACAGCTACCGGTAGCAGTGGCAGTGCATGCTACCCATGCACAGTACAGCTACTGGTAGCAGTGGCAGTGCATGCTACCCATGCACAGTACAGCTGCCGGTAGCAGTGGCAGTGCATGCTGCCCATGCACAATACAGCTACCGGTAGCAGTGGCAGTGCGTGCTGCCCATGCACAGTACAGCTACCGGTAGCAGTGGCAGTGCATGCTACCCATGCACAGTACAGCTACCGGTAGCAGTGGCAGTGCATGCTACCCATGCACAGTACAGCTACTGGTAGCAGTGGCAGTGCATGCTACCCATGCACAGTACAGCTACCGGTAGCAGTGGCAGTGTATGCTGCCCAAGCACAGTACAGCTACCGGTAGCAGTGGCAGTGCATGCTACCCATGCACAGTACAGCTACCGGTAGCAGTGGCAGTGCATGCTGCCCATGCACAGTACAGCTACCGGTAGCAGTGGCAGTGCATGCTGCCCATGCACAGTACAGCTACCGGTAGCAGTGGCAGTGTATGCTGCCCATGCACAGTACAGCTACCGGTAGCAGTGGC